AGTGCAAAGTTGACTATACATTACTATTGTGTTACTTGAAGAAGCAGAAAAAGAGAACATAACGAACACTGATTTAAAAAAAAAAAAAAGAAAGAAAAATAAATTAAACCATCTCAAGTGTGCTTGCATGTTAAATTCCTGTGATGAGCATCCCCCTCAGTTCAATCATCAACACTTTGGTGTGTGGCAGTTCTATCCCTGAGTGTTAAACCACAGAAAACAATCATGCAAATTGACAACCAAATAAGATTCAAATACACAATACAATACTGAAGCAAACAAAACAAACAAACAAACAAACACAAACAAAAAAAAAGAATTACAGGCATAATTAAGGTGGCAATCAACAGGAAAAAAAAAAACATTAACAGCTTATACCACCACTAGAAATGTTATAACTGTTCAATTATTCCACATTAATATACTCCACGCTGTGAATTTCCACTGATGTCTCAAAATACAAACGTGACAATCATTTCCCACTCAGATACCTTACAGTGACTGGGCTAGAGGTGTCCCATAATAGATGAGCATTCAAGAACAATTAAATAGCCAATACAACAAGCTCCAATGGACCATTTTCCACCTAGATCGGTTAAAGGCAAAATACGGCTACCAAACACGCCCTTCCCTGTAGGTTCATTGTGCATGTCGTATGTAGGAGGCTGCAGCTCACTTGTCACTGCCATGGTCTGTAATGACACCTCATTCATCAGTCTGAAAAAGGAACGGTCTGAGTTCTCCAATGCATGCCTCAAGGGCAGTACATGAAAACAGAAATGTAGGGGCTGATCGATTGACGTTGGTGATAGATATTTCTAGCATCAACACGGTCTCTTCACACCACAAACAGTGGCTTAAGGCAAAACTGAAGCAGACTGATGAGTACCGTCCCAGTCAGTGTGCGAGTGCCTACTCATCAGCTACGACAATGTGGAATCACGTGGGGTAGCAGCAACAACATCTCTTTCATATCAAAAATTTGGGAAAGTGCTAATTCAAAGGGAGTACCAAGCACAAGGCCTTAATTAGGAAGAAAAGAGCAAATATAATCTGCTCTATAGGGCATACAAGTATATTACTAACCTATAATTACTATGTATTACTCTATAGCACACATGTCAAAACACAAGGCCAAATTCGGCCCGCCAAACCATGTCATGTGGCCCCCCGCACTGCTCCTGCAGCAGTCCCTCATCTCCACCCCCACCTCGTCTCAGACGGCAGCATAGAGGAGGGCACAACTCCTCCTATAGATCCTGCACTTTGCTGTTCAGTCTTGGAGAGGCTTGATTCTGCACCCCCCCCCCCCCTTCATTTCAGCAGTTGGTAGCAGAGAGGAGGACAGAACTCCTACAGATCCTGCGCCTATCTGTGAAGCTGCAACACCCCCCTTCATCTCTGCCTCCCCTGGTCTCAGCATTCAGTAGACTCTGGCAGCTGACTCAAGAATTCCTCTGGTCCTCCTCCAGGCCCTGCACTTCCCAGCTCCACCCCGAGCTTCTCCAAGGCAGCATCACGAGGCAAGGGGAGTGCACTGTGATGTAAGGGAGGTTGGGGGGGGCTCTTGTCTTCTGATGGTGGAGGGGGCTCTTGGCATCTGAGGTAAGAGGGGGTGCTCTTGTCTTCTGGTGGTGGTGGGTTCTTGACATCTGATGGGGAGGGGGGGGGGGGTATTCTTGACACCGTATGTAAGCGGGGCACGTGTTCTGGACATGTAGTCTTACAGATAAAACTGGCCCTTGGAGGGCAGCTATAATGCTGATGTGGCCCACGATGGAATTGAGTTTGACGCCCCTACTCTATAGGGTAAATGAACATTAGATATTGACCATTTCATAGTCATGGCCAAGGGGATAATCGTATCTGAGGAGCAGTTGTACTGTTTGATACCTGAACTGACCGTTAAGGTGGTTGTAAACCACTGAAATGAAAAATGAACCTAGTGTGATTTCTGTCTGCTCTCTCATTCCTCTATCTACACAAGCCGCTTCCAACAAGTGTATGCTGATAGCATGCAATCCCAGGAGTTGGCACCGCACCACCCCCCACCCCCACCCACAGCAGGTGATTAGCAAGCTCAGCTGTGCATGCTTCCCTGTGTAACTGTGTAGAGGGGGGCATGCCCATTCCCTCCACTCAGGTCTCATATTACACTAACCTCCCTGCTCAATGCTGTACAGTTTGCAACATTAGATCCTCTCTCCCTGCCTTCTGAAGCTCAGAAATGCTGTGTAAATGGTGTGCTTTGAATGGCTGTAGAGGAGAGAGATAAGAACCTAATCCACCTACATAAGTTGTACCTGTTTATCTGCACCTGTGTGTCACCCGAAGCAAGTCATTTCAGTTGGTATATGTAAGGGTTTACAACCACTTTAACACCACTTGCTGCAGTCATACAAATTTCTCCACGACTTTGATAAAGCATTACAGGTTACCAACAACTGCAAGGGGTAAAGCCTCATACACACAATGAGAATTTCGGAGGAATGATTGTCCATTGTTTTTGCATGCTAGTCTCATATTAGTAAGAAAGAGGTTACTAGAGTTACAAAAATTCTTATACGACAGAACACAACTCCGGCAATGATGTGATGTATTGTACTGTATTATAATGTATTCTTTCGTTTCCAAACAGGCACGGTCTTGGTTACTGGATTTTTTAAGGACGAATACTGTACTGATTAAAACAAAAATCATTCATTCTGATATCGTACAAGAAAATGTTTCATGCTTGTCTTTTTGGATAATTTTACATGAACTGCCGTGATCGGCTCTTGAAGCTGTGTACGAACGATCAGCTTATTTTCTGTCCGATTTTCTCATCGTGTTACTAGGCTTTATATTATATGGGTCATTTTGTGTCCGAATTTCTTGTACTGCAATCTTCAGACCTCCCCTAGGCTATCACAACGGTTTCAATCTCAGTAGTGATATGTGTGCTATTCATTAAAATATTCAGTCCAGGAATGAACTAGAATCCTCCTCCAAGAGACAAAAAGGATGAATTCCTGACATACATTTAAAAGAGATATGGAACATTGTCCCCACTGTGAAACATGTATGTAAAGTAAAACACCAAGTGCCCATAACAAAGAAAAGAAAAAGTGTGCTCTATGACAAAAGAAAAGATTAAAAAAAAAAAAAAAGACAACTCTAAACAACCACCATTCCAAGCCACACTGAGATGCTAATATACCCTGCTAAGGTGCTTCAACATGAACAGAAGACACAAGATTTATTCAGCACTAGCTCAGCCTACTGCTGACACCATGTACATCATGCACATGGCAATTAATCTCCTATTTTTCATAATTTCAAGCAGGTAGTATGCCAATAACATAACAAACAAGGCATAGTTTGGTATCCAGATATCCAAGATCAGGGACTTCCAGACAGACCTCCAGCCAACTCATTCTAGTAGGTCTGTAGTTCATCTGGACAAGTCCAAAACATTAGAAACTGGTTGCCAACTAGATGGCATTTATATATAGCACAGTCGGTGGCACTATAGATTTCAGCGTGATGAATCTTAACCTTCGTGCACCTACTGAAGCAAAATAAATACTTCTACTACTACAACAGACAACTTCTCAAATTATGCTCACGGCTTTGGTAAAATGGAAAGAAAAAAAAAAAAAGTGCAGTAAGTCATCTCAACTTAATAGCTCTAAAAAGTGCAGCTCATGTGTGGTTCCCTTTGACTTAAACAAAAATACAATCCGAAAAATATAATCTCTCAATGCCTCAAACTGTCACATATGCACAGCAGAAGCAGTATGTTGCCCACACTGTGGTATCGCTAGATCCGAAGAAAAAAAAAAAAAAAAAAAAAAAAGAACATATTTCCAAATCTACAAAGGCAAATATCACTTCAAACAAGTACTGTGCTTTTAGCAGATAACTCTGTCATTTTAGAATCAAGATATCAGTGCATTGTTGGACAAAGTTAAGTATCAAAAGTCAACAGAATCAGATGGAGGGTGTGCAGTTAAGACTTTGAAGCAATAATGTTCTACAGCCTTGAGCATTTCTTCTGCACAATTCCTCTGCAGAGAGGTCCTTCCTGGAGGACTTCCCTATGAAGGGAATCTTTTGAAACCCTCTACATGGCAGGAAATGGAACTTTTGTTGTAGAACTCGTCAAGTGAAAGATTTAGACAAGCAAAAATCTGTAGAATATTTGACTTCGCCTGATTAAAAGGGTTTCTTCTTTAAATCAAAAATGGACTACTGTAAACCCAATGGGATCCTCTGTACAATTTTGTGACTCAAGGATTAGTGCCACGTTGTTGGTATCAGTGGGTGGGGGGGGGGGGGGTTATGCCACAAGGGTCAGAAAAAAAGGCAAGCAAAGAGTGACTAAATCCCTTTAAGCGAGGATTTACATTTCATTTAAAGTGGATATCACTTTAAATTCCTTAAAGACACGTTTCCTTTAACCATCAGCAATGCCGACATTTTCTGAACCAGCTAGAGTTCATTCACTTAGATTCTACAACAAAATGATCCCACGATCTTTTGCGCCTACAGAAATAACTATGCTACACATGAAATCCCATGTTGACAAATACCAAAAATTAAATTATTCCCTCTGGTATTACAAAGGTGTAAAGTTTTTTTTTCTCTCCACAAAACGGAATGTACAATCTGCACTGAAGGTCTCACTCTAACATATAAACACATCTAGGTTTTCCAGATATTTGACAATATAGATGGAAACATAATGGCCTTGCTGTTGAAACCAGCAAATATGTAAAGCAATGCAGTAACCAATCATAAAGAGAATGCAGGAACTCTGAAGGCTCACAGTGGAGTCTTGGCCTCTTCCCCGATCCTTTTACTGCAAAGAGAACATGGGTAGACCCATATTGTGATGTACAGTTATCACAAAAAAAAAAAGAAAAAAAGTGACTGTAATTGTTAGTAAAGTACTATATATGCTTAAAAAGGGCAATTCTTTAGGCAAGTCTTTGGGAAGGTGACAGAAGTGCTTTAGTCTACTTTTGATCAGATTCTACCGACTCAGCATCCGAGCAATGTGGTTTGTTTTTCTCCCAATGGCAGATGGCATTGGAGTACTGCACCAAAAGTTTATCCATCCAGGTTAGGGGTTCTGGGAAAAGTACAGCACCCTCAAAGAAGCCCAAGTGTCCACCATGAAGCGGCAAAACCACCATAACGTTTTCATTTTTTGCTGAAAATTAAACACAAAGAAAAAAAGTTTAGTAAAGATACACAGTACAACTTCACAACACAAAACCTCTGTACTAAACAATACCTAATCAAAGAAATGGTAAAGCTGTGAATCAGTCTACGTAAGGCACCTGCTCCACCAGCAGAGCTCTGCCAGTAGTCCTGATTTATCCCTGAAGGCACCCAAAATAAGTATACAGATAAGGATTTCCAAAAGTAGTTATCCTCATAGGGCTAGGCACGCCACCTCTGCTCCACTGCACTTGGGTCTAGTGTCAGGTCTGCAGAGTAGCTCTTTCAGTGTAATATGGGGGGGCTCTGCTGTCACTGCAACAGCTGATTAGTCCTGCACGGCGGCACAAGAGACAGTTGGAGCAATCCATGGGTAAAAGCGCCTTCCGCCCAGACACAGAGCTGGGAGCCTCTTCTGACTCTGCCTCAGTACAGCCCAGGTTACAGTAACAGCTCAGTTGGCTATATTTTATAAGATTTTATATTTAACCGCTTCAATACCAGGTACTTGTACCCCCTTCCTGCCCAGGACAACTTTCAGCTTTCAGAGCTGTCACACTCTGAATGACAAGAGCACGGTCATGCAACATTGTACCCAAGCTAAATGTTTATAATTTTGTTCACACAACTAGAGCTTTCCTTTGGTGGTATTTAATCACTGCTGGGTTTTTTATTTTTTGCAAAATAAAAAAAAAAAAAAAAATCCAAAAAAACAAAACTTAGGCCACTCCTACATTTCTTTGGTGAAAATAACCCAAAACAGTGTATATTATTTAGTCTGTAGGAAAGTTATAGAGACTACAAACTATGATACATATCTGAAAATCAATCAATCCCAATGTACTGACGGTCTGTCTCATTTCCTGAGGCCCAAAAATGTCAGGACAGTACAACTATCCCCCAAATTACCCCTTTTTGGAAAGTAGAGAGACAGTCTGAGGTATTTAGTATGAGGCATGGCGAGTTTTTTGAAGTTGTCATTTTTTTGTCATAATTGTTTGGAAAATGAAGAAATTAAAAAAATTTTTTCAAATTTTGTTTATTTTTTTTTTTTACACATACTGTCATCAGTGCAGAACAGCGTCATCATATAACTGGTGTGGCGGTAATCAGGGACACTCGCTGGTGTCAGTACAAAAAAAAAAATATTTTTTTTCATTTATTACTTCCTTTTTTTTTATACCACACTGTGACCAGAGTAATATAATATTACCATAAAAACATTGTACTATTATGGGGAAGTGATCAGTTTTTTTAATAACACATTATGAATAAATTTCATTGCTTTAAGCAAGCATTTTATTGAATGAACTCAGTTCAGTTTATTTTGTTGTGATTAGCTGTGATTGACCACGGCTAATCACATGACACAGATGGGCTGTGATTGGCCCAGTCTGTACCATGTGCTCACTGTGACCAATCACAGCTTGCAATACAAGGGTATACAATGGCTGGCATGAAAGGAAGCCATCTATTATTTACAATTGTCATATGACCTGCTATGATCGGTTACAGGAGTCACATGGTATCAGCAACGGATGATGATTTTACTATAGGCCGGGCAAGAACTGGTTAAATAGTAACCAGTTTATCAATCTACAAAAAATCTTCTTTAACCACGTGAGCTCTGGAAGGTTTTAACCCCTTCATGGCCATTTTTTGCTATTTAGCACTACGGTACTTTAACTGGCAATTGCACGGTCATGCAACACTGTACCCCACCAACTTTATATAATTTTTTCACACAAATAGAGCTTTCTTTTGGTGGTATTTGATCACCACTGGGTTTTATTATAAAAATAAACAAAAAAAGGCCAAAAATGTTGAAAAAACCCCCCAAAAAAACAAAAAAACCCCAAAACAATATTTTTTACTTTATGCTATTAAACATATCCAATAAAAAATAAAATCTAATTTAGTCATAAATTTAGATAAAAATGTATTCTGCTACATGTCTTAGGTAAAAAAAGAAAAAAAAAAAATCCCGATAAGTGTATATTGATTGGTTTCTGTGGAATTTATACTGCAAACTATGGTATATATAATGGATTTTTTTTTGTTATACTAGTAAGGGGGGCAATCAGCGGTTAATGGGATTGTGATAGTGTGGTGGGCAATCTTGACACTGGGTGGGAACTGACTCTGACATTACCAGTGACACTAATACAGTGATCAGTGATAATACTATACACTAATGACACTGACAGGGTAATCAAGGAGTTAAGTGTGTACCCAACAAATGTTAATGTGTGTATTATGCACTGCTGTTCACTAAAAAGGCATTTTTTCCTTCTTTGCAGGGAGAAGAAACAAAGATCATTCCTTCTGTAGAGAGCCCTATGTTGTTTGTCAACACAGGGCTCTGGGCTGTCATTGGACGCAGCTGATCAGCAATTCTCAGCTATGAATCATTGGCTGGGACCTGTTGACAAAATCCCACACAGCGGGAGTTGTCAGGGATTAGGGGCATGCGCCCTGAACCTAAAAGAAGGGAACGGCGTACAGGTATGTCACTGTGCCTGTAAGAGCCACCTGCCCACCTGCAGTACAATGTGGGTGGGCAGTCCTGAAGTGGTTAACAAGTCACTTTCTATATTTTGAGCAATAGCTACACAGGTATGAAGCAACTTTCCTGAATTACACATGTAAGAGAAACTTACCGGCCAGAGTCTTAGGAATGGACAGCAAACTGTCATGGACTAACGGGTCATCTACGGCGTTTACCAGCATGAGAGGAACATGAATCTAGAATGAGAAATAAACTCAGGAATAATATTAAACTACACCTGACTTGAAATCAATTGGATGTCAGAATGTGAACCATGTGGCTAATCATACGTTACATTTACAGAGTGTTACAGCTGTATACTTTCTTCTATAGTCACCCTTTTACTTGTCTGTACAAAGTCTGAAAAGGTATACATTTTCATGAGAATTAAATGCACAAAATCACTGAAGTGTCAGCAACCCACATACTGGCACAGCATGTTCACAGTGCTTCTCAGAAACTTCCTTTAATAGTAGAAAACAAGAACTTATAATGGTGAATTATGTTTGATAGAACTCTACCCATGCCATGTGTCTTCAGCAAAACACGTTAAGAGAAAGAATATTATAATTTGCCTCTACAGCCAGATTGGTTGCATCTGTCATACGCTGTCAAACTGAAGACTTCAATACCAAATGCTTCCGTGGGCACACACCACAGGGGTTCTAACTTTTTCCATACAGTTACAGTACGTTGATTTACACATAATGTTCTTTTATTTTTCAGCAGTAATGTAATAACCCAACACCCACCTGCTACAGTAATTACTTAAAGTGGTTGTAAACCTCAGGTATGAAATCTGAACAAAGCATATCCCTCTATAGTGTGTACTTGTCTCAGTTAAACACACTAAGTGTCATTTCTGTCTTCATTCCTCTATCAGAATCATTTCTGACAAGTTTTCCTGACACCAAGCGAAAAATGGTGACAGGGAGGGACTTCCAGCAAATTGTATGGAGGGAAGGGGGGGGGGGTGTCCTTTCCCTCTAATCAGCTCTCAGAACTCTCCTCACTAAGCTCTGCAGAGTGTAACTTCAGCTCTTTTTTTTTTTTTTCTAATTCTTAGAGAAGCTTTATGCATTATTTCATAACACTTTGAATGCATATATAGAGAGGAGAAGACGGCAGATAAACAGGTACAACTTATGTAGGAGGATTTGTTTTATCTCTGTGTATCACTCACTTCACTGGGTATATGTAAGGGTTTACAACCAATTTAACTTTCACTACTGGATTCTCCATAGATGTGTTTTACACTACAGAAAACACAGCCGTAAAAAGTGAGGGTAATGCTCATCTTAAACCCAACCTGACCTCCAATATAATAAGCCAGCAGCAGGTTCAAGTTACAGACACAGGCCTTCAAAAATAAAATATTTTCAAATCCTTGATCAACCCTCCATCTATTCCCAAAACACAATTAAGGCATTTATGAGGGGCCTTATCACAAAAATGCCTTCACTCTACACCAGTACCTGAACTCTAAATATTGGAGTTATGTGCCTTAACAAAAACTTACATTCTGTAAATACCGAACACAGCTTTCTGCTTCATAGTACTCCTTAAGGGTCTCATAGCCATGGAATTTTCTGACAAAGGAGAAGCAAATAGACAAGAATCAAAAAAAGGAATGACAAAATTCCTTACTACTAACACTGAAGGGACAAAAAATGATTTTTATTGATTGTGCCGCCTGTCAAATTCTGCAGCCCGAGTTAAAATTGCTGGCTCCACAAAGCAAAGCATTATGGCTGCGAAACGTGTTTAGCTCTGTTAGGCTGTATGTTAGAATTGTGATGTGTGGCCTGGGAAGGAAAGGGAAGGGGTGGTAAGACAACAGGCCTGTTTTTTACTGCCCCTGGATGCCCAGTGTGTGAAAGAGCCTTATAACAATTTTTCTGATATGCAGTGCAATGTTGGTGAGCTTTTTACACTTAACACAATTAGGCAGTACTGACCAGAGGAACAAAAAATGATATATGCAAACATATACTGTATATTTAACCACTTGAGCTCTGGAAGGTTTTACCCCCTTCATGACCAGACCAGTTTTTGTTATTTAGCACTGCGCTACTTTAACTGGCAATTGCGTGGTCATGCAACACTGTACCCAAAATTAAGTGTGTGTAATATATATATGTGTAATATATATGTGTTTTTATATATATATATATATATATATATATATATATATATATATTTTTTTTTTTTTTTTTAAACAAAAATAGAGGTTTCTTTTTATGGTATTTGGTCACCACTGGGTTTTTTATTTTTTATTATATAAACAAAATAAGACCAAACATTTTGAAAAAAAAAACCAAACAAAACAGAATTGTTTACTTTCCATTATAAAACATATGCAATAATATAAAAAAAAAAATCTAAATTTCTTCATAACCTTAGGCCAAAATGTATTCTGCTACATGTTTTGGTAAAACAAATCCCAATAAGTGAATATTGATTGGTTTATTGAAAGTTATAGCGTCTACAAACTATGGTAAATATAGTGGAATTGTAATTTATACTAGTAATGGCAGTGATCAGCAACCTACAGTGGGACTGTGATCGTGCAGTTGGCAATCTGACAATAATTGACGTTGGCTGGGAGATACACTATCTGACTGACACTGACATCATCAGCAAAGCGAATACAGTGATCACTGATAATACTATACACTGATACTGTACTAATGTCACTGGCTGGGAAAATGTTAACATCTAGGGGTGATCAAAGGATTAACTGTGTGCCTAACGATGTGTAATGTGTGCTGCTTTTTTACTAAATATCTGCTTTGCAGGGAGAAGAAACAGATTGTTCCCCTTTAAACAGAATCTGTGTTGTTTGTCAACACAGAGCTCTGAGCTGTGATTGGACAAAGCCGAACAGCAGGTCTCAGCCATGAATTATTGGCTGAAACCTGCTGACAAAATCCTGTTGTGTCCAATCACAGCGGGAGTTGGGTGGGTAGTCAGCAAGTAGTTAAGCATACTTTTTGTCACATATAAAAAAAAGCAGAGCAAAGGCAATAGCCAAAGTAACTTCAAGTTATTTCAAATAACTTTGCCAGCTGAACGCTAATATATACTGTATGTCTGACTGCCAAGTACATCCACATTTTGTTCGTCTGCCAATTATCTAATTGGAAGGTATAATATTTTCTTACAAGACCAGCTATTTGTAGATTACTGCTAATCAAAAAAGATAAAAGGCCATAATATTAATTCTGTGACATTTAAAGTGTATTCTTTACATCTCTCACCTCATGATGGTATCATCGATCTGCATGAGAGATGTAGCTGTGTATAATCGGCTTATGACTGAATCCTCAAAGATTCTATTCATTCTGGCGTCACCAAACAGAGCATGTCTGAGGGGAACAAGCACATGCTTAGAAAAAGTAAAAATAAAAAAAAACACATGAAAATAACTTGAACATTAAAGTGATACTAAAGGTTCAGATTTTTTTTTTTCAACTAACAAAAACATGTTATATTTACCTGCTCTTGGTAATGGTTTTGCACAGAGCAGCCCAGATCCTCCTATTCTCAGGTCCCCCGCTGGTGCTCCTTGCTTCTCCCCTTTGCAGAGTGCTTTCTTTGGAGCACTCAGCTTGCTCCTCAGCCGCCTCTTCATAAAAAAAACACACAGAGCCTGGTTTGGGCCCCACCTTTCTCCCTCCTCACTGGCTGTGACTGACAGCACCAGGAGCCAAAAGGCTCCCACTGCTGTGTCTCAGCCAATGGGAAGGGAGAGACCCGGAAGAGCCTCTGCTCTCAAGCACATTGCTGGATCGGAATCAGGCTCAGGTAAATACTTGGGGGGGCTGCACAATAAAGGTTTTTTTGCCTTCAAGCATAGAATCTTCAGCCTTTACAACCACTTTAGGAAAACATTTCAACCATTTTAAGCTTTGAAAGTAAAGTTCTGCCAGGAGCGAGCCAGAAAATCCACTTCTGTCTGCGCCTGTGACCTCCCACTCCTGCCCCCAGAGCCAAGGCTGATTAAGGTGCCCCTATTGGATGGGATGGCTGGGCATGGGCTGGACTGACTTCAGGGGCATGGATTAGCACCAAGTTGTAATAAAATATTAAAATGTAAAGAAACATTAATGACTATTTTATTTGAAAATAATTACACTCAGGATTTATAGTTTCTGGAAAATAGTGAAACTAAAACTAAATGAAAAGCCTTTTTTGCCCCATAAAATAAACCCATACCACTTACTGTAGATATTAGCAAAAATAAATTTGCTGAATCAATAGGCTCATCACCAAAATGTAAAAATTACTCTAGCCTAGTGGTTCCCATACTCAGATAAAATAGCTGTCAAATACCTAGACACAGATATGGATTAAAAGTACCTGTGCAAAGTGAAGGAAATCATGAAAACAAGACCTGTTATGGGTACTTGAGGACTGAGGTTGGGAGCCTCTGCTCTAGTCGAGGAGTTTTCAAACTTTCTTAAAAAGCCAGCTTACTGTCCTTCAAATTTTAGGAGGGCTGGACAGTGGTCAGTGGGAGTAGAAAATGTCTTTGTGACAGTGGGAGTAAATGGTGTCCTATCTTTGGTGTCACTGGGAGGAAAAGCATCCCATCGTTGGTGTCAGTGGGAGGAATAGGGCCCCATTGTCAGTGTCAGAAATGAAGGCCCACTATTGCTGACAGAGAGTGAGAATAATGGCCCAAGGGCCAAACAGAAGCAAGCAAAGGGCTGCATCCGCCCCCTGTCTGCAGTTTGGAGACCACTGCTCTAGTACATGAGCAAGAGCTGAAGTAGTTAAAGCAAACACACTGTAAACGAATTAAAATGAGATTGTGATCCAGCACATTCCTTATTAAAGACACATCGCGATATGCACAGTAAAAGTTCGCTTTAGTGAAAACCATGTCAAACAATCAACAGATCCAGTGATACAAGCAGCTTATTGCACAAAGAGGCTATCCATTGTATTGCAGAAGCAATAAGTTGACATGACAAGCTGGAGAAATTATAGCTCTCTACCTGTCCAGGAAAAAACTGGCCATACACTGACTGAATTTAGGCGGGTTCCTGATAAATTCACCTAAAATTTGTTTAGTGGGTGGTCCTGTCAGATCTCTCCTGATATGTCTTATCTCTTAGACCTTTCACCATTTTCGCTGCCCATCCCTGGACTCGTTCTATCTTATTGATATCTTTTTGTAAGTGAGGGCTCCAGAACTGCACACAGTATTCTAGACAAGGTCTAAGGCATGCCATAACTTCTTTCCTGAAACCACAGGTAGCGGGAAAGAAAATCACTTGATTCCCCCACTAACACAGTCAGTGTCAATGGAGGAATCCCTCCTGTGGAGCTATCGGGAGGGGTTGGGGAATTAGCCTTTCCTGCCAGGAGAACACAGTGATTACAGCTAGCTGCTATAGCTGCAGGCAATAATAACATGGAACATCTGACAGGCTGGTTGTACCAAAGTTGAACAACAATCAAATTTGATACAATCAGTCTGCCCATAGATGGTTTGAATCTCGACAGCTCCCTGGTGAACCAAACAAAAAAATTTGAACTATCTATGCCTGGCTTAACTAACAATCTAGGAGAATCAGGTCTTCCTTCCTTCTGCTGGTATAGACACAAGGAGACAATAACTGCATTGGCCAGGAATTGAACTCAGGCCTCCTGAGAATTCTACTACTGATCCACTAATGTTTTGAAGTTTAGCGTGTAATGAATGAGATTCTATATGTACTTTTTTTTTATGTAGGCTGTAAACTTACATAGGTTAAAGAATATGTCCTTAAACTGAACCTCTCCAAAACGAGTTTCTTGTCTTCCCCCCAGCCTGGACCCCACCCCCCATTGACTTCTCCATAACATCCAACAACGCCACCATCAAACCCGCCCCGCATGCCAGAGTACTTGGTTTCATTCTGGACTCCAACCTATCCTTCCAGCCCCAAGTTCAATCTTTAACAAACTCATGCAGACTCCACCTCTGCAACATCGCCAAAATCCGCACGTTCCTAACCCCAGAAACCGCTAAACAGCTCATCCACTCCCTCATCATATCACGACTCGACTACTGCAACTCCCTCCTCACTGGCCTGCCTCGCCGCTGGCTATCCCCGCTTCAGTCGATCCTGAATACAGCTGCCAGACTCATCCACCTTTCCAACCGCTCCATCTCCGCCACCCCCCCCCTCTGCCAATCCCTCCACTGGCTTCCGATTGCACAACGGATCAAATTCAAAATCCTAACACTGACGTACAAAGCCGTCCACCATACTGCCGCGAACTACATCACTGACCTAATATCCAAGTACCTCCCAACACGCACACTCCGCTCCTCACAAGACCTCCTTCTCTCTAGTTCCCTGGTCTCCTCCTCCCATGCCCGCCTCCAGGAATTCTCCAGGGTGTCACCCATCCTCTGGAACTCCCTGCCCCAACCCATCAGATTATCACCTACTCTCCTCTCCTTTAGGCGCACCCTGAAAACCCATCTCTTCAGGGAAGCCTACCCCACCCCCTGCTAACCTGCCGACCTCCTCCACTCTTCCTACCACTCCATCCCCCACAGCTATCTCCTCCTGTGCCACCATCCCCTCCCTCCTAGATTGTAAGCTCGAAAGAGCAGGGCCCTCGATCCCCTCATGTTTTGCATTGTATTGGTATTGTTCTATCACATGTTCTGTCCCCCTTTGTAATGTACAGCGCTGAGCGAACCATTGGCGCTTTATAAATACTGTATAATAATAATAACCCAACAGTTCATACTCCTGATATGTGCCTGCTGTACCATGTACTTGTATAAAGAAGTATCCGGTTTTCTTTGTATTGCTTCCTTAGTGTGTAATCCCTGGTGTTCCTGTCAGTCCATCTGCTCTCCTGCCACACTAGGCAGGACAGCATAGCGTGGTCAGTTTTCTGGCTGTGCTGGGTGCTCAGCCAGCTCTCCTCCAATCACACTTCTGTTGACATGCCCCCCTGCATAGTCATTCACTGGGAAGACCAGTGTAATGCTGTTTCTCATCCCTCAACCTATCTTAGCTCCTTATGCAGCTAAGAACAGAGGGAAAGTGATCACTTACAGCCTTTCATTTCAATTTTAAACTGAATGAGTTGGATTACAAGGTAAGGGTTCACAAACCTGAAGTCCGCTTTGTGATTTTTACCTACAGGTAAGCTTATAATAAAGTAAAATAAATATCTCCTAAACATGCACCGTTTAGGAGATATTTGCTGTTTTTGGCAGCCGGAACATGTGCTCTGAAGGAACAGCCATTGCTTAAGGGCACTGTGCTGTTGCCCGTGACTCCTGCGTGCATGCGCTAGAGGGCTTCACAATGTGCCAGGATGCGATGCATACTATCACATTATAACATTGCCTTGCAAGGGATTTTTTTTTTTTTAAAATCTGAATTTACTACCGCTTTAACTTTTTATGAAAAATACATAGCTGTGGAAAAACCTTTTCTGTGTGTATTCTCTCAGGGTAAAGAGAAAAATCTCTATTTTGCAGTGTAACCCAAACAAAGTCAGACACCAGCGGATGTCATACGGAGTAGGAAAGCTGAGAACATTGAGCAGATGCCACCCCACAGAGATAAAACACTACGTTTTAGAAAATAGAAGTCGACAGAAACTCTGCTTTGTAAACCAATGTTAGCGAACTGATTACAGTGTGCAGTAAAAGTAGGTTTAGTAGAAATGCATATCTTGATAGTGACATCATTTAAATTTTATTATTATTTTTTTTTTAATCTGAATTTACTACCGCTTTAACTTTTTATGAAAAATACATAGCTGTGGCAGACCTTTTCTGTGTGTATCCTCTCAGGGCAAAGAGAAAAATCTCTATTTTGCAGTGTAACCCAAAGGCAGACAGCAGCGGATCAAAACTGAGCTTCAGGCAAACCACTAAATACATGGTTTCAATACATATATGTGAACAGCATATTGAGCAGCTTCTGCACCAACTAAGACCAATACTCTGGAAGTTAAAGTAGAACTATATATAAAACTTTATTCTTCATTTTGGATAACGTAAGGGAGGGTCAAAACCTGTCAGTTTACTTTTTGCCATCTGTGTCCCAATGGGGAGATTTCCCTTCACTACTGTCCCATAGCCGCAACAGGAAGTGGGAGGAAATCCCTGAAAATTAACCACTTGCCGTCCGCCTGCTGCTTATAAACGGCAGGACGGTGGCAGTCCAGAGGTGGGTTGCCGTTCATAAACGGCACCCGCAATTTCTAGCTGTGCGCGCTCCCTGGGAGTGCGCAGCACCGCAATCCGGTTCCCGATGTGTCCTCCGGACACAGTGAAACACTGATCGTCGGACGGGACCTCTGTACAAGGTCCAGATCATGTGATCACTGATTGGCCAATCAGTGATCACATGGAAAGTAGTAAGCAAGATGTCAGTTGTAACATCATTGCTTACTACGTGTGTAATCTGTGAATGATCACAGAGGTCACATGGTACAAGGCTATTCACAACAGCCTTGTACCATGTGACAAGCTGTGACCAATCACAGCTCACTCAGTATTTCTCAATGGCTGCAAGAATGCAGACAGAGAGAAAGTGAAATGATTGCTTTTACATCCTACTGGGTGTAAAAGCAATCACTGTAAAAAAAAAAATCTTTATCACCCCCCACAAGTAGTACAGTGTCACCATGGTAGGGTGACAGTATGTAGGAAAAAAAAAAACATAAATAATAATATAAAAAAAAATTAAATAAAAATGTAAAAAAAAGTTTAGAAATTATAATTTTTGGTTATAAACTAATTTGGCTTTTTTTTTTTACTAAAAATATAACGGAATACATTTTGTCCAAGATTTATGATGAAAGATTATTTATTTGCAAAATTTTATAAGAAAAACACTTTTTTTCAAAATTTTTGGACTTTTCATTTACATAGCAAAAAAAATAAAAATCCCAGTGGTGAATAAATACCACCAAAATAAAGCTTTATCTGTCTCAAAAAAATGGTAAAAAATTCATATACGTGCAGTGTTGCATGACCGCACAATTGTCATTCAAAGTGTGACAGCGCTGAAAGCTGAAAATTGTCCTGGTCAGGAAGGGGGTAAAAGTGTCCTGACAGGAAGTGGTTAAAGGAATCACTTGGGGACCCCAGAACTAGTGTTCTCATTTCCCCTCTATTACTTTTCAGGGGACAACAAGGGTGAATCTCCTTAGCAGGGACACAAACAGCAATAAAAACTGACAGATGTTCTAATACTTCTCCACGCTATCCAAAACTACAAAAAAGTTTTGCCTTTAGTTGTACTTCAAAATATTTGTCTTGGAGTTTCATATACAGCAGATAAGGAGAAGTTTGTCTCAAAGAAATGTGTTCTAGGAATCATGCAATACAGCTCAGGTTAGGCTATATTTTCTGCTCTACTGTAGGTCTAAATAATACACAACGGCTTCCTTGCTTGCTGTTCAGACCCATTTGTACACAGCTACTAAATCAAACAACATGTAAAAGCATCAGACATTTTCCTAAATTTTCTTGAACATTTTCTATTTCCTAAACAGAAGAGATAAATCATAAAAGTACAAATATTTGAATAAGTTTTGTGCAGAGAAGCAGAAGCATCCAGTAAATGACTCAATTGAGTTACTTATACAAGGCAATACCTATGAGACAGAATGATTTTCTTCATGTTGTCAGCCATGAGGAAGTTGTAAAATCGTCTACATTGATCCCACTGTAGGAATGTTTCCTGTGCCCTAGAAGAAACCCAGAAATGAGGAGTCAGAAGTGTCACAGAGGAAGCCCCAATCCAGGCGAGCACATAGGACTTGTCAGGCCATCACAAACACATTGGTGCAACTTTAAAAAAAATCCTGCTTGCTGCATCTTTAATGCACTTTCATCAAAATGCATGTTTTATAGAGTTCAATGGTAATGCACATAGAAACGCAGTGCACAGATATGAACTGGCCCTCAGACACAAATTTATTTTATTTATTACAGGTACTTATATACCATCAATTTACGCAGCGCTTTACATACCGTATATGTTGTACATTCACATCAGTCCCTAACCCTCAAAAAGCTTACAATCTAACATCCCTAACTCAGATACACACACACACTAGGGACAATTTAGACAGGAGCCAGTTAACCTAGGTAGTGCCGTGATTTGGGTTCGAACCAACAACCCTAGTGCTGCTAGGCAGAAGTGCTAACCACTTAGAAACATACCATGGCATTTGGGGCAGCACAGTGACTAACACCATGGCCAAGGAAGCAGTAGGATTACGGGACCTGAAAAGTTCACTTTGCTGAATGTTAACTCTGAACTCCAGGTATGCTCTTTATTGCACAAGCTTGGACTAATGTAAGTAAGAATATCTCATACTTGATGGGCCACTGGCAAAGCAGACAATGAAAGTCTTCTGGGTCCTTACCAATTGAAATTTTTTTTTATTTTTACTAGTAATTATTATTATTATACAGTATTTATAAAGCGCCAATGGTTTGCTCAGCGCTGTACATTACAGAGGGGGACAGAACATATGACAGAACAATACCAGTACAATGCAAAACATGAGGGGATCGAGGGCCCTGCTCTTTCGAGCTTACAATCTAGGAGATGGCGGTGACTTACAGTGGGACTGACACTGCAGCGGGACTGACACTGGGGGGGGACTGACTTGGTTTCACTGACATCCCCAGTGACACCAATACAGTGGTCAGTGCTAATAAAAAGCACTGACACTGTACTAATGACACTGGGCAGGAAGGGGTAAACATGTGGGGTGATCAAAGGGTTAACTGTGTGCTGTTTTACTAGGGGCTGTGTGTTAGGGCTTCACTGAAAGCACACTGCTTTGCATGGCTGTGCTGTGTGCATGAGCTGACAGGGAGAACATTTTTGTTTACAAACAGTTCTTCCCCCGTTGGAGATGCTCGGCAATCACTGGGCGCCGCCGAGTAATCACAGGCCGGGACCCAGTGATTGACAGCCGCGGCTGGCGTGATATACGTGATTTTGCGCACCCGTACCACCCTGTAGCAGTACTTCTGCTATAGGGCAGACGGGAAGCGGTTACCAAGCAGGCTGGCAAGTGAGCTGGGAATTTGTTTTTGATGTGCGTTGCCCTTCCATGTGCCCCTTGCTGCAAAGGCTGGTTATAGGTTGTAGTGGTTGCCTTTGTTTATACAGTTAGACCAATTTAAAGCGTTCACCAGTACACAAGTGCCTCCCAGTTTCCCAAGCAGCTGAACAAACCACCAACATCTGCTGGCATACTCCGTTCAAAAATTCAATAGAATGTCCAGCGCTGCAGAAACAATAAAAAAAAGGGGAGTTTTACCCTGCAGATGACTTTCCAAGCCTTTTACCAGATTTCCAATCCACTTGTGTCTTCTCCTTTAATAAATGATTAAAGGAGAAGACACACACTTGGTGATTTTGATAGTTTATTGGACCCATTTGGCATAAGTGAATTGAAAATCAAGGTAGACGAATGTAGTAGTAAAAATTATACCTGGAGTTCAGCTTTAAACCAGTGGTGATACCATACAGAGGAGCAAGATTTACAACTATAATTATTTATCTTACATCGAAAATTGGATTTCTTTCATAAATTTAGGAGCAAACTGGAAAAAAATCATACAGCCCTAAACATTAGGTTCACTTACAAAAGACAGAACATTGCCTGTGGCTGTATTATTCAACTTCCTATCGTATATTCCATACATGATAGGAACAAACAGATACTATAATCAGTCATGCTTGGACTGGATGTAGAACTATTTATCTTTCTCCGTCAGGCCTCACTGTGGAAGAGGATAACATAATAATCTTTGTACTGTACTTTGTGATATCTACTGTTCTACGTCAAAAAATGTCACATGCAACCTGTAACAGTATGTACAAGATATAGAATATAGCACAATCAATAGTGTAAGTTAAACATACAACTGAACGGTTTTCCACTAGAGGGAGTAGATGTGGCACAATGGTGTCCAAGGTTAATGTCCAGTACACATGATGAGAAAATCCAACGAAAGATCATCTATTTTTCTGCTTGCTAGTCTCATATCAGAGGACCTGTCACTGATTATTGGGTCTTGTGCACACTGGACGTTTTTACAGCTCCTGTTTTTTGCTTCCGCCATTTTGTTTTCTCTACAGCCAGTAAACTCCCCAGCATGGTATCCTATGTGTCCATGCACACATAGGCTTTAACCAGTCTTTTTTGGCAGGGGCATTTTCTGGCTAAACCCCCCCCCCCCCCCCCCCCGAACTAGTGGGCTTCAAGAGGAATTTTTTTCTTTTTTTTCCGTGTAAAAACGATCTAATGCTGAAAAACGCTGATAAAAGCTGAATATGCAACTATCCAGCATTTATGAGTGTTTTTGAGCCTCAAGCTTTTATGGGAGTGTAGTTTTACTAAAAAATGCAAGCGCTAAAAACCACTAATGCAAAAACACTAAAAAAACACGACAAAAGGCATTCTACAGCTAATACCACTGGTATTTTTTAGAACGTCCAGTGTGTGTGCACAAGGCCTTGCTATCACAGGGGATATTTACACTCCCTATGATGACAATAATAAAGAAAAAAATAAAGGAGACAGAGTAACAATTAAAAAAAAAAAAAGTAAAGATAGAAAAAATGTACAGCGCCATCCTTGCATGCAAAGGCAAACACATATGTCGGTCCCACACACATACGTAAACAGCGATCTCACCACACAAGGTATCAATTCAAATGTTAAATTCACAGTAATAAATTTTAGCATCAGACCTGTGTAAATCTAAAATGGTAACCTGTAAAGGCTTTTAAAGCGTACGCAGTTTTCGCCGTTGCAAAGGCATGCACAATTTTAAAGTGTGACATGTTTGGTATCTATTTCCTCAGCATAACATCACCTTTTATACTTTACTAAACAATTGGGTATTATGTGTTTTTGTGCATTAAAATTCATTAAAGTGTATTTATTCCCCCCCAAAAAATTGCGTTTAAAAAACCGCTGTGCAAATACCGTGTGACATAAAAAGATGACAACATCCATCATTTTATTCTCTAGGGCCTCTGCTTTCAAAAATATACATTTTCACATGTAAAAAAAAAAAATAAAAAATGTCAGCAAAGGCCTGGTGGTGAGGAAAGTGAATGAAACCAATTCTTTCTGGATCATGAACTATGATTCCAGTTTCATGGTAACTTCATGCATGGAACTTGTTATCTTGTTTGACTTTTCCAGCCTGTTACTCAGATATCTGAATGGAAGCGAATTGAATGTGCATCATTCGTCAGGCGTATATTATTATTTTTAGTATATGGCCTCTTCTGCCCAATTAGGAGGTTTTGGATATCTTAAAATTTGGGTGAGAAAGATTAGATGTTCTATCAGAAGACAGAGGGACAGAATCTGGAAAGATGAGGAAGAGATGATGGTAATGACTGCACATTAGAGCTGACTTAACATGATTAGTATGCCATGCTATGTATTCTGCTGTTCCTACCTACATATTATAGCTAATCATAGCAGGATATAACTCGTGCTCAGACTCAAGTTTCAGTCCACATGGCAGTGGGGACAAGTTTGCATTCTGATGCTTTTAAATCATTGTAAAGTTACCAAGAAATATATATATATATCATATGCTATAAAGATGACTTACCGGGAAGCACTGTACCCCTGGCACACACTGGCACAGCACAGGACTCTCTCCTGGTTGACTACAGCTTCACCAAGGAATTTACACACTATGTTTCCACCAAGGCTAAACCCCACAACTATCAGCCTGGTCTGAGGATACGTCTTCTTGATGTAGTTGACCATTCCTCCAAATTCCCACGTACAACCTTAGGGTAGAAAATGACAGGCTGAAATCTAACAACTGAGTCAGCAAAATATGTAAAGCTGAATTTAAAGTGGTTGTAAACCTCAAATATGAACAAAGCATATCCATCTATAGTGTGTACTTGTCTCAATCCAGAATACTAAGTGTCATTTCTGTTTGCTGCTTAGTTCCTCTGCTATCAGCAAATGTCATTTCTGAAAAGTTTTCCTAACCAGAGAAAAATGTTGACAGTGGATGGAACTTTAGCACACAGCCAGTGATTGACAGCCTCAGCTCTGTTCCTGTGCGCTGTGTGAAGAGAGTGTCTCCTTTCCCTACAATCAGCTCTCCTCTGCTTTTCAGAGTGGAGAGATCCTGTGTAAATTCTGCACTATGAATGCATGTATGGGGACAGATGTAGGAGGACTTGTTTCATCTCTGTGCATCACCTGAGGCTAGTCAGTTCACTGGGTATTGTAAGGGTTTACAACCACTTTAAAAAGGTAAGACTAATAGGTCTGCAAATCTCATAGCTGATGGACTGCTGTGGAAGCTGACAATTACTGTAGTAGGTGGTGCTACTACACTGATCGAAGTAATCTTTCAGGTCCTGTGCTGAGTGGCTGCTCCAGTGCACAATGACCACAGGCGGACAACTCACTCGGCACTGCAGCCTTTCACAGAACCTCTTGTATTTTTTAATGAATACAAGCCATTCTTTGATTGGAGGAGGTGGAGCAGAGAAGCAGTGATGTTACAATCTCTATCTCGTTCCAACAAGCACTTTGTATTCACCGGAAAAAAAAATATGTAAGGTTCTGTGAATAATGGCCATGTCCAGGGAGTGACCCCCTGTGGTCAGTATGCAGTGGGGCAACCGCATGGCACAGGACCTGCAAGACTACGGTGATCATTGTAATAGCAATGACGAACACAGTGACTGTGCATACTTACATTGGTTCAAGCTGGTTAAATTTAAGTATGTATTTAAGATCAAACTTTCAGTTCAGCTTTAAGTATTTGATAACCTAAAACATGAAATATGAACAAAGCATATCCGTCTATATTGTGTACTTGTCTCAATTAAGAGCACTAAGTGTCATTTCTGTCTGCTGCTTCATTACTCTGCCATCAGCAAGAAACACTTCTGACAAGTTTTCATGACACCAAGAAAAAAAAAAAAGGATGACAAGGTTGGGAGACTGCCTCAGCTCTGTTCCTGTGAGATGTGTGGAGGGGGGGTCTGTCTCTTTCCTCCAATCAGCTCTCGGAACTCTCCTCACTGAGCTCTGCAGTTTGTCATTACAGCTCTGCCCACTTTTTTCTGAACTCTGACAAGCTGTATAAATTCTTTTAAGGAATGTTCAAAAAGAGAGGACGCAGATACACAGGTACAACATTTTTAGGAGGCTTTGTTTCATCTCTGGATCACCTGAGGCCAGTAACTTCCCTGGGTATATGTGAGGGTTTACAACCAGTTTAATTATACAGTAGGAATGTATGTATATGAAGAGTACACATCGGTTCCACAGAGAACACTGTTTATTAGTTCTGTATGGAAATGTGAATTTTGAGAACAGAGATGTGGATTCAGTCAAACGTGTATGGTGTTCTGTGTACAATTACTGTTTTACAATATGCTGTACAGCACTCAAGATTTTCTTTTATACTTCTATTAGAGATTCCCAGACCAACTATACAATTATTAAAGGAGAAGAAGAGACACAGTTGTATTTATATGGGAATTTCCATATGATTTTTTTCGTATTCTTGTTGAGCCTGAAGTACTGGGTAATGAGTGTGAACATTTCGGGTAAAGAACAGGCTGTACTAAAAGGGTCAGTTCACTTTTACAGAAAAACAGACGGCGCTGGTGGACTGGCTCCGGGCAGCCCTGACAGCTGAAGATCATGGATGGTACAGCAGGGAAGCAAGGGAGGAAGGGGGTCGGTGTTAGGGCACCTTTGCAGTTTTACTGTAAAGGTGAAAGGACACTTTAAAGTGTATCTAAATTCAAAACAAAAATGTGTAATATATTGCAGATTCCTTGCTGTAATGAGCAGCCCTCATTCTCCTCTTTGCAGCCCCCCCCCCTCTGGCGCTCCTGGCTTCTCCCCTCTGCCAAGTGCCCCCAAAACAAGCCACTTCCTGTTGGGGCACATGTGCATGCTCGCTTTTGAGCCCAGTTCTCTGCGTCCATAAGATGTGCAGAGCATGACTCCACCCTGCGCTTGAACCCTCCTCATTGGCTGTGATTAACAGCAGTGGGAGCCCATGGCTTTCACTGCTATCTCTGAGCCAATGAGGAGGGAGAGAGCCAGGAGAGCTGCTGCCCTCATGCACATCGCTGGATTGAGATTGGACTGAGGTAAGTATTGAGGGGGGTTGCGGGGTAGCAGCACACTGAAGGTTTTCAAAAAACTTCAGCCTTTAGAACCACTTTAAAATGTGGTAGATGTAGATGCCTCATCACCTGTCATTCTCAGAGACATTTGTCTTGTGCTAGCCTGTTCCATAAAACTCTGCCTACAGAGTGAGAAATCATCAAAACCCAGGGTGACTTATTACTGCTTAGGGAAGAAATGAGGAAAAAAAAAAGCAAAGGATTTGGGGACAAACGTGGCATGTGACATTTTCCTGTGTGTAGAAAAGATTTCAGCCAAGTTTTGGATTGAAAACAATGGGCGTACAGAGAGCCATTAAACCTCCAGAGGAAGCATGTTAAAAAGTAGATTAAAGCTGGTCCAAATGGCAGTGCCTGGTTTAATTTTTAAATTCTGAAAGTTATTCACACAATTCCCTTCTTCGAAACATATATTATTTCCGTATAAAATATTTTACTCTTTAGATTGCAACTAGATTTACTTATCCAGCATGAGCAAGAGTGGTAACTATCCCACAACTGTTTTTTTTCTTAAACACCTTTTAAAGGGAACATTCACAAAGAGGAACACTGGTCTGGTATTGCTAACCTCCCTCTGAAAATACCAGTTGTTTGGCTGTCTCTGACATCAAATACTAGATCACTGGCTGGGAACAAGCAAGTGAAGAAAGAGGAAGGTCAGCACCTAATATGCATTCTTGGTCTGGATTGACAGCTTGTTCAAACTTGAGCAATGGCAGTCTACAAACGTCATCCGCAGTTGCGTAGTAAGGTTGAAAAAAAGTCACAAATTTGTCTAGTTCAGGGGTCTCCAAGCTTTTTAAATAAAGGACCAGTTTACTGTCCATCAGACTTTAGGGGGCCGAACTGTGGTCAATGGGAATAAAAATTTACATAGTGCCTGTGGTCAGTAGGAGGAGCAATTGTGCCCCACAATGGGCATTAGTGATCGGAATAATGTAGGTGTCAGTGGGAGGAATAGAGCCCCATCATTGGTGTAAGTGAGAGGAATAGTGCCCCATCATTGGTGTCAGTAGGATGAAGAGTGCTCCATCAATGTTGTCAGTAGGAGGAATAGTGCCCCATAAATATTGTTAGTGAATGAAATATAATTTCATTTTTTATTTCAGTGGGAGGAATAGCGCTTCATATCTGTAGGAGGAATCCCCAAGGGCCAGATACAGGCAAGCAAAGGGGCACAGTTTGGAGATCACTGGTATAACCAATAGAAAATAAAACAAATATCAAACCTCCATGTACAGAATCCTAAACACATGGGTGATCCAGAGGAAGGCAAAAAAAAAAAAACCCAGTAAAGCATAGTTCAATTTGCTCCAGTGGGGAAAATAACCCCTTCCTGATCCCCCAAGAGGCAATTGGATATTTCCAGGAATTCCTGGTGTTATTACCTATAATTGGGTAATATCCAGTTATTGTTGTGTATTTGGGAATACATCCAGCTTTTTTTTTTACAACAATCTACTGAGCTAGTTATTGAGGGAGTCTAGTCCACATTTTCAAAGCTCTTACTGTGAAGAAGCCTTTCCATATCTGTAGGTTAAATCTATTTTCCTCCAGACTTAGAGTGCCCCTTGTCCTCTATGATTATTTTAAAGTGAATAACTCTACACCGACTTCATTATATGGACCCCTTATGTATGTTGGTCATATCCCCCTTAATCTCTTCTTCCCAAGAGAGAATACATTCATTTCCTCTAATCTTTCCTCATAGCTGAGCTCCTCCATGCCTCGTATCAGTTTGGTTGCCCTTCTCTGTACTTTCTCCAGTTCCCCCGATATCCTTCTTGTTGCCTAAAACTGAACTGCATATTCAAGATGAGGCCTTACTAATGATTTGTACCGGGGGAAATTATCTCTCTCTCTTAATACAAGAAAGGATTTTGCTAGCTTTAGAAACTGCAAAGTGTGTGATTATATATATATATATTCAGTTGTATCATTCACAAGAACACCACCATAAAGACAGTTGATTAGAATTAGGGGAAGATATGTTGCCTGATGTCACAAGATGACTAACAGTAGACTTTCTGAAAATGTTGTCCACCCAATTACAAGCCTGGTAAATGTGTGCATACAGTGACAGGTACACTTATGCACGCAATAAATAAATAAGTAAGCAAGCTCATTCTCTTGTGATTCCACAGCTATGCATGTCACAATGTGTTTGTCAAAGTATAAGATGTCCAGAGCTGTCCACAGAATACTGCTGTCTCACGGATCATTGCTAGGTGTTCAGTTAATGGCTGTTTATATGTGTTTACTTTTTGAGAGAGCCACAGCAAAGGTTGTTCTATATATACTTCTTGTCGGTACAATCACAATAAAATGGAGAGTGGATAATAATAATAAAATACTAAAAGGTACAAAATGATTATTTCTTACAGCTGGTGACAAAGCATGCAATAAAAAAAAATTTAGTTGACGTGCTTTTGAGATAACATGTGAAAGTTAAGATGACACAAGATATTTCAAGCGTTGTCCCAGTGTCAGCAAACATTGCCCCAGGACATCTAAGGGCAAACAGATAGTCTGATGACAAAATAGCATAAAGGATATATTTACACCAGAGCCAGTCACTGCTGAGCCTCTGAAAAGTGTTCAGCAGTGGGGGTCGCTTTTCAGAGGTGTTTGACAGGCAGTGAGGACACGTGTCACCTCCTCACCACTTGTTTTAACCCTGTAAATGCTGAACCACCATGCTGCAATACATATAGTTGCAGCCCCATCCAACAGAATGGGTCACATTTGGCAGCGGTACTGCCCACCAAACAAAACAGGGGGATCATTTTTGCCATGGCCCTGAAGCAAAGCACTGCAGCCGCGGCCTGTGTACACCACCATCCACTGCCTTTGGATGGGCAGTGGATGGGGGTGGACAACTGCAAATGTAAACCAATCAGTACTGCTCTTCCAGACCAATCTGTTGCAGATGAAAATAACAAACAGTTTAATAAAGTAAAACGTCATGCTAGCTAAGGCTGCTTTCACACTGATCCGTTTTTCTTGTTTTTGCATTAAAAAAAAAAAAAAAAAAAAAAAAAAAGCGAAAGAAAAAAAGTGTCACCATGTAATTCTATTCTTCACATTGATCCATTGCAGGCCTGCAGAGTTTTTAAAATCCTGCTTGCTGCATTTTTGGAAAACGAAATGAAAACGAGAAGCGCACCGACCTTGCGCATTACCTCAGTAACCAAAATGTATTAATTATAAAATGATACTTACAGCGAATAAAATCAGGCATGTAAGTCCTCAGGGGGACTTGAAAGATAAAGAACCAGCGCGAATCCCATCAAGGGGGTGGATACACAGTACAGCCGACGCGTCCCTTCTTCATCTTCGAAACGCGTGAGATGTACTGAGTATGGACCCCCTTGATGGGATTCGCGTTGGCTCTTTATCTTTCAAGTCCCTCTGCGGACTTACATGCCAGATTTTATTCGCTGTTTGTGAGTATCATTTTATAATTAATACATTTTGGTTACTGAGGTAATGCGCAAGGTTGGTGCGCTTCACATTTTCATTTCGTTTTGCAGTATTGGTCGGGCTTCCCCAGCCTTGTTTGGAGCTGCACAACTCTACATGCATTGGTGGTCGATTTTTCCAGGTCTGGTTCCATCCATTCGCCACCCGCCTGGGTCCTAGAGCGCAGGAGAATTCGTTTTCGATTTGCTGCATTTTTGGTACAGCTTTGGTGCAGTATTAAAAAACAAACAAAAAAAAAAAAAACAAAAACACTTAAAGCACACCTCCCCATTGAAATGAATATAAAACGCAGCAAAAACAAACAGGGAAGGCTGGAGTGGGCAGTTGGAATACCAATACTTGATTGGATTAATATCATTCAATGGGATGCCACATGTAAAACATGAAGTCATTCAACAAAATTGCGTGCCACTGGCTTCTCTGTTAATCATTTAAATGTAGAAGAAGAAAATATACATGCTTTATTCTAACAGTGTGAAATTGTGAAAGTGACTAATCGGCAATACAAGGCTATCTTTTATTATATACGTTCTATACTGTATACCATAACATATGTAATTGTGTGTTTTTATACCTTGAACCTGCCGTTTGGCTATTGTACATTTAGAATGCTGTCTTCTAAAAGTCCTAAACTTGCTTACCATACGTGAACATGCGTGGAGATGTTAGCTCAATGTTCGGTAAGGCTCCGAGGTGATTCAGCACAGCACATCTATATCCATTTTTCTGCGCATGGTCCACAAAAGTCCGAATATACTGCTTCTCGCTGTGATTGGCTATCCCAGGACATATAACCATAGTGATACTGTCTGTAGATTGATGAGAAGAAAGATTACTCTCTAGATTTGTAAGCAGATCTAAACCCTCTGTTCATCAGCATGCCCAACCCCCACCCCTTCCCACCTTTACTTTTGATTTTCAAATACTTACTACCTTTAGAGCTCGTTCACACTTGCAGCAGACCCTTGAAAAGCGATCTGCAGTAGATCACTTTCAGAGGGCGGTTGTGAGATTTTTTCTAAATTCCATGCTTCTCTGTTCATAGTGATTATTTATGGTGAACATTTACTGATGCTCGCTCTATAGATTATAGATTTAAAAAAAAAAAAAAAAAAAAAAAAAAAAAAAGGGACAGAGTTGACATCCCCATTGAGGTGGATGGGGAAATGCTTCCCACTGTGTTATTAGTTATTATATTCTAACAGCAGGGCTACCCGCCAACAGAATACATTGATCAGTGCTGCAGCCATTGTCGGCATGCGCTGTTTGAGCAGAAATTTTCCAATAAGTCCATTCATGAAAACATCAACTGCTCATGAACATTAATGGCCATACATTGATCGAAATTTGGCCCGTACCTGCTGAAGTTCTCTCTAATTTAAAAAGGAGTTTTAGATAGTTCCGGAAAGGCTGAATAACCAATTAGACTCTTCATTCTCTAGGTGACATGGGCAATTAAAGGGTTACTAAACCCGCAAGAGTAAAATCAGTCTGTATCTGCAGTAAAGCATTCTTCTGATACTCACTGTAGAACCTAAGGGGTTACTCATCTGCATTGTGTAAAAAGGCGGCTTAATCCTGTCTTCTCTGATCCTCCCCTTCTTCTACTGTCCCCAATCCATCTGCCATAGTTGGAGCAGCCATGGAAAATCTGCACATGCTCTGTGTTGGTGTGTATTGCTAGAGAGTTTTTTTTTTTTTTTCTTGAGAGGGTGCATGTGATTGGCACAGGGGCAATCAGCGCTGTCCAGACAGATGGTCAGGGGTCATGCAGCCTCATAGGACAGTCAGAGGAGAATGAAGACTCCACCTACAAGCTTTGACCAGTGCTCAGCCGAACACTGAAAAAAGACACAAGACTGCTAATGATGGGAAAAGATATTTAGCAGTTCATATTTCCGATTATAATTGCATTTCCATGTTCTGTGTACACCGGATATAGTGAATGCAGGGTCCTGGGTTTAGTAACACTTTAAGACTGCTGATAACCCCTGAGTTTAAAAGCTAAGTGCGTCTTTTCAAAAAATTCTGAATGCACCTGTGTTAAAAAAAAAAAAAAAAAAAAAGTATTATTTTTTCACATAGCAGCCTAGAAAACACCGCATCAACCATCATGGGTGCAATTTACAGGCTCCTGCAGACTTTTGGCAATTGCTAGTCCCTACCCAGGTTCGGTCCATCATTTAGAAGCCTGCGGGAAGTATCAATGAACTACCAGTATGAGGGCAGATGGCAATCGTAGGTTTTTCATTCACAACTTCCTGTGTATGAATGATGCAGCTATGTGTGGCTCTGAATGACAATTGTAAATTTGAAAGGAGCCAACAGGAAGACTATCCCCCAGCTCCTGTAAGGTAGGGAGCAGTCAGAGTGTGGGGCTGCAGACTCTGACCATGCTTTATGTTAAGCCCAGAATAAAGATAGATGGATTTAGTCTTTAAATAGGAACTATAGATTCTTAATATTTAGGTACATTACAAACAGATCTATCCACCTCTTCATGTATGTACAAACCTCCAGTGCAGTGCTCAGCTAGTGGCTCAAAGAGGTCAAAGGTTGCAGTAGCTCCATCAGGCATAGTGAGGTACTTCCTCAGACCATATGGGTTTGGAGAGCTGACTCGACCCATCTTTCCATACAGCGCTGTTTGGATATGTCCACTTTTTCCCCAGATGAGAGGTGGAATGTATCTAACAAATCAAACCAAAATGTATATAAAGCACAGAGGATTTAAGCAGATTAATAACATCTAAAAATCCTTTTTAAAAGAAAACTGTATATAACAGCAATGTATGTGTAAACTAGCTACCCTTACATCTTTTGCACATTTGTCAACAATGAGTAGTGACTATGATTAGTGAGGAGCTTAGTCGTGTTCGGACCAGGGTCCAAACCTGCCAGGAAGCTTTCACCTGCATGGGTTAATTATCTGCGGCCGCAGCATTCCCTGTCTTGTATACAAGGGGCGTGTATACATGAGACTGAGGGGCGCAGATGGCCCCAGCTGTGGATGATTGGCCCTTACAGGTTACAGCTTCCTGGAAGGCTCACACATGTGGGTTTGGATCCCAGTCCTGACTGTGATAATCAGTATTAAAGGAGAAGTTCACATTTCATAACATACAACCATATTCAGGGTGTAACATGTCATTGTACGACTGGCCCCTGCACCCCCCTGATCCCGTGTGGTGACAGCAGGGGATCCGCTCCACCCGCTAGTTGTCACAATTTAAAAAAAAAAACGCGGTCACATCATCCATTCACAGAGTCCTATGAATGGGAAACTACAGGGAGCTTTTGAGTGCTCTGGTAGTTCATTGATGCTAAGGGCTCGTTCACACTTGGCTTTTTTTCCAACTCTAGCCAAACGCCCCTATAGTGTTTGACAAGCGTTGGTCCGGCGTTTGTGAAGCGTTTTTAACGCTCCACAAACGCCGTATGGCTGGTTTTGCAGCGGTTGCTAGGCGTTTAAAAACGCCTATAATGAAGTTTGAATGGTGTTAACGCTCCGCAAACACCTTGCAACCACACCGCAAACGCCGGCCAGGTGCTTGCGGAGCGGCACCATACACTTGAATAGGAGGCTTCAACTCCTCCTGACTCGACCAGAGGCGTCTGTTTTGCCGTGACGCGACACTAACGCTCCCGTGTGAACCGCAATATGTGCTCCAATGTGCAGAATTTTCAGAGGCGTTTGGAAAGCGGTAAAAACGATTCCCAAACGCCCGTTTGCCGCCTGCTGGCAACGCTAGTGTGAACGTAGCCTAAAACTGCCTGATTGTACGATGTACGAACAGACAGATTACAGCGACAGTCTGGAGGAGACCTGCATAGCACAAGCGATTTGCGGATCGCTGGTGCAATGCTTTGCAGGCTCTCCCCTCCCTCAAAAAAAAAAAAAAAAGTTAAAAAAAATGCAAACAAATGTGCATTTATTTTTTGTTAAAAATATGAAATTATCCTTTAAGGTGTAAGTAATGTAAAAGCAAATACAATGAAAACCACACTGACATCTTCCAGCATTTTATTTAAGCATATAATCAGATGAAAGAAAACAAATCAGCTCTTGGAGTGAGGATGTTTGGGGAAAAATGTGGAATTGTCAGTTACTTACAATAGACAAAGTATCAACATAACTTTCCTGCTTAATAAATTGAACAGCAGGAGTTGGACCAAAGCCACTCGGAAATCTAAGAGGATGGGCGGATGGGGTGCTGGTTCCACAAACAAAAATATCCTGTTCCATATAACAGTACTGAACCTGTGAATGGGAAAGTTAGGATGGAGTAGAAGACTGTTGCTAGAAGACACCACCGGGGCTGATCATCTCATAAGGACACAAATAGCATATGGGACAGATTTCTAACTTTCCTGATCAAACGTTACCGGAGACATTGTTTAGCTGGACATGGGCTTACCCACACACCACACTCAATCTGGGACAAAATAGCCAGATTGGACAATTATCGCTTGAAGTATACGTATACTTCAAAGTGGTTTTAAGGCTGGCCATACATTATACAATTTTCTTGAGATTTTTGCTTAGATTTATCAAAAAACCATATAAATATGAGGTCAAAACTAAACAACATTGTATCCAATTAGGCGGGCCCTTGCACTACATAGTTGAAGGTAAATCTAAAGTAAATTGGACAGAAATTTGTAAGAAAATTGTATAGTGTATGGGCCAGCTAAAACCCCGAAAAGAAAAATAAACAAAGCATATCCTTTTACATTGTGCACTTGCCTGAACCCAAAGCACTGAGTGTGATTCTGTCTGCTCTGTCATTCCTTTGCTATCTGCAAAAGTCACTTCTGACACCAGGAAATCCCAGGAGACGCCCCCTCATTTATTTTACACAGAAGGATTTTTTTTCTTTTTAAGAGGCTTATCTATACAAGTTCTCATAATGGACATGGTCACAGGAGAGGATGTGTGGGGACATCTTTCCAGTGGGGACATAACAGCAATAGAACACTTTATTTTGGTAGAGTGGGAGAAGGCCAGATCCTTCTGGGGTGATGGGGAACCATTTGCAGGGACACTGTCACTTTGTGCTGCAAGGGTTAGAAGGCATTGGAGCTGCTTTACTAAAACTGGAGAGTACAAAATCTGATGCAGCTCTGCATAGAAACCAATCAATAAAATAAAACAGTGTAGCGCTAATATTACTAAGAAGTATTATGTAAATCGATGATTACAAAAACACAAAATAAATTAAATAAACATCCCCTAAATATAAACATCGGGAAAACAACACACACATATATAGATAATAGTGTCATGCGTGAATCCCTCATAAGGGAATATCCAGTGCATAGGGTGACAAATATTGAGGAAGTCACGTGTTGAACGTGACGCAACGCGTCGGTACGTGGGGAGGAGCTTCCATTAAACGCGGTGACATCACTTCCGGCATGGGGGCCATATTTGATCACCCTGTTCGATCACCCATGCAGTACACCCATAGCATGAGGTAGAAAGCTGGAGGAAGAGACGTTTTTTGCTGTAATGTGAGTAAAATACTTTTTATCTGGATATTTATCTATTAAAATTGGTTGCACTATGGAGGGTCTCTGCTTGTGTTTCATTATGACCCTGGCTGCTAATCTGGTGAAGGCTGGAGACGTTTACCAACAGTGAGGGAAAAGCCTGAGAGGAATTTATTCTTACAGGATCACCTTGATCCTCAAAGCGTGCTGGCCCTGTGGGGTCTAAGGAGGTGAGGGGGCATTTTGGATGCTGAAGGATTGACACGTGTGAATCACGTACACTGCACGATACTTTGCATGAAGAGTGAAGTGGGAGGACCACCTTAAGCATCGCATTTATTTTTTCAGACTTTGGAATTGATTATTTGTTCACTAATATCGTGCACTATTGTGTTTTTTTCACAGTATTGATTTAGGGTTGTATTTGTCACCCTATGCACTGGATATTCCCTTATGAGAGATTCACGCATGACACTATTATCTATATATGTGTGTGTTGTTTTTTTCCCTGATGTTTATATTTAGGGGATGATTATTTAATTTATTTTGTGTTTTGTAATCACCGATTTACATAATACTTCTTAGTAATATTAGCTGTACACTGTTTTATTTTATTGACTATTCACTTATTGGGTATAAGGTTAGTGTCAGCAGCTTTTTTCGTGGGCAGGATTCCATTTAAGCGCAGGAGGTTTTTTTTCCTATTTTTTGTGTTTATAGAAACCAATCAGCTTCCAGTTTTTTTTTTGTTTTCAAACCTTAATTGAAGAAGCTGACATCTGGAGCTGACTGGCTACCATGCACAAATGCACCAGATTTTGTACTCTCCAGTTTTAGTAAATCAACCCCACTGTCTCTTTAACCACTGCAATACTGGATATTTTCGCCCCGTTCCTGCCCACATCATTTTAGGTTTTCAGCACTGTCACACTGTATTTTTTCACACAAAATAGAACTTTCCTATGGTGGTATTTAATCACCTCTGGGTTTTTTGCTAAATAAACTAAAAAAGACTGAACATTTTGAAAAACAAACAAAAAAAAAAAAAAAACGTATTTTTCTCCATCGATATATATATTTGAAGCAATTTGATCAATCTTAATGTATTGACGGTCAATCTCATTTCTTGAGACACTAAAATGCCAAGACAACAAATGCGCCCCCCCCCAATGACCCTTTTTTGGAAAGTAGACAGTCCAAGGTAATTAGCAAGAGGCAAGTTTTTTTGAAAATGTAATTTTGTCACAATTCTTTGTAAAGTGAAGAAATTAAATCAAATTTTTTTTTTTTTTTTTTTTTTACATACTGTCACCAGTGCAGTATAGCATCATCATATGACTGATGTGGCTGTGATCAGGGACACTAACTGGTAACTGTATTAAAAAAAAATAAAATACATTTTGTATTCAGTTTTTACATTTTTTTTTCCTTTTTTTTTTTTCTTGAGGCCCCAAAATGCCAGGACAGTTCAGATTTCTCCCAAACGACCCATTTTTGGATACTACAGTCTGAGGTTTTTAGTAAGAGGCATACTACTTGTATATCCGAGGCCCTAATATTTCTTGCATATTCAGAAGCTTTGACTACTCATGCAGAATTAAAAATTATTTCATAATTTCTGTATGAAATGCTCTTATATATGCCAAGCTTATAAAATTAAACACTAACAGCTGAAAATGAACCTTAAACATGGTTATGATTCTAAGTGGGGACCTTTATGAGCGAACACGCACAAAAACATGAAATGACAGGAATAAGAGCCCTGCCCAAACCTTTATGAGTAATAGCAATGTAATGCATAGATACAGCAAACAGATGACTGCTCAGCCTTCTGTATATTTGCTCAGTGTAGCCTACTGCAAATGATTAACTGTTCAGAAGCACTAATGATTATTTTAAGCATTAAATATGGAATGCTGTGCTCCTATCATATCAGAAATAAATAAAAAAGGCAGAAACCAGCTGGCTACTCACTCTTTGGTCAGCAAAGGACAAGATTTTACTAGGAAGCGGGTTAAAGGGTTGTCTTGGTATATGAGATCTGGAGATGCAGTCGGGCTTTTCAAGTTCAAGCAGCGCACAATAACATAAAGGGCGGCAGCAACAACAGCTGCAAGCTTCATCCCGTCAAAGACGGCAGGCATCTCTGGGGTGTCCATAATTGCATTCATGTTGACTGCAAAGAACAAGAGAATAATTAGCACAGCATTATGTCAGTATAGGGAGAACTGGTTAATAAAAGCAAATGTTTCAAAACAAAACTAAACTACTTAATTTACTTTACAACACAGTTAAGAAAGTTCTTCCAGACCTACCTTACCGAATATATACATTTATGCATACCTTTGTATAGGGTAAGGGAAGGGATATGTCAGACACTAACCTTTCAGTTATAAAAAAAAAGTGACTATTACTCAGTCATGCAACACAGTACCCATATGAAATTTGTATCATTTATTTGAGACAAAGCTTTCTTTTGGTGGTATTTAAGCACCACTGGGGTTTTTATTTTTGGCTATATCAATGAAAAAATACTGAAAATTAAGAAAACAAAAACATTTTTTCTTAGTTTTTGTTATACAATTTTGCAATTAAATTTTTCCTCATAAATTTAGTCCAGAAATCCCACTGACTTCAATGCAAAATCGCATCCCACTGACTTCAATGCAAAAATGCTTGTCAATAGCAATCCTAGGTGAACACTTATCTCTGCATGCCACTCTAGCAATTGCAAGCCTGGAACGTACTGCTACAAACTTGCAAAAGGACCCTTTTCATAATGGCACTCAAAACACAATGCGTGTGGATTGCATCTGTGTGAACCACTTCAATAGGAACACATATCTAGCCTGCCATGCAAATCTCCCAGTTTAAAAACGCACCCAGAATTGCATATCTGTGAAGCAGGGTGTCTCCATTCACACCTGGGCGTTTTGGGATCGCAACAGAATCCCTGTGATCGCAAAAACACAGGTTCAGGTGCCATTTTTAATGGTGCCTAAAATGTGGTGCAGTTTTGCTGCAATTATCCTGCGGCAAATCACATCGCGTGATGCTTGTCGCCCAAAAGTTGCCTTGCCCTGGGTGCCGACAACCCACGTTACGCTAAAAAAAAAAAAAAAAAAAAAAAAAAAAAAACCTCCTAACCTTTTTAGCTGGCTCCTAGGTTCAAAGCAAATTTGTCAAGCCCCGCATTATGGCATAAACCTGCACAGAGTAAAACCACCCTTGCCGTCCAAAGGATTTACCCCCCCTTCCTGACCAGGCCATTTCTGCGATACGGCGCTGCGTTACTTTAACTGACAACTGCACACATACAAAATTTATGTCTTTTTTTCCCCCCACAAATAGAGCTTTCTTTCGGTGGTATTAAACATATCCAGTAAATAAATTGTAAAAAAAAAATCAAAAAAAATTTCGTCATAAATTTAGGCTACATGTCTTTGCGAAAACAAAAATTCCAATAAGTGAAAATTAATTGGTTTATGTGAAAGTTATAGCGTTAACAAATAGCAGTATATATACACAATTTTTTTTTTTTTTTTTTTTTTACAAATAATGGCGGCGATCAGCGACTTATAGCGGGCACTCTGACATTGGGGGGAACTGACTTGGTGATCAGTGCCAATAAAAAGCACTGACACTGTACTAATGGCACTGGGTAGGAAGGGTTAACATGTGGGGCGATCAAAGCGTTAACTGTGTGCTGTTTCACTAAGTTGGCTGTGTGTGTTTCACTGTAAGCAAACTGATTTGTATGGCTCTGCTGTGCAGGAGCTGACAGGAGAGAGATATGTATTGTTTACATACAGGTATCTCCCATGTCGAAAATGTTCGGAGATCGCCGGGTAATCACTGGCCGGGACTCGGTGATTGACAGCTGAGGCCGCGAATGGTGGTGCAGGTAGGGCGTGCACGCTCCCCCTACCCGGAACTGCAAAATCACGTACATATACACACATGATTTTGCACACCTGTGCCGCCCTGTAGCAGAATTTCTGCTATAGGGCAGCACGGAAGCGGTTAATATCACTTTAAACAAAATAAAATGCAGAGCATGTGCAGTACCATCTAAAGCAGAGACATTTACATACATATTTAAATATACAGTAGCTGGCATTGATATGACTGCAACATTTGGCATATGTTCACAGGAAGGGATGGGTAGCTGACTACATGTACTTTTTGAACTTTTAATGACAGTAAAACATTGTTGAACAGATAAGATTATGAAAATAAGGTTCAATAAATGCAAAGGCACTGTTCCAGATAATGTACTAATTTATGGGCAGCGCAGACATTTTGGTTACTACTAAAACCTCCTTGTAAATTTGCAGCATTTTGAAACAATTTACACCATTCAGCAAGTGGCAAAACACTGTAGAACGTGCCAAAAAGATGGAATGAATTTTATGTGTATTTTCACTTTTGCAGCCATATTGGAATAACACGTACTTTATATTTGTTACATGTTCTCATTCACATAGCATATTTAAAAAACTTAAAGAAGAACTCCGGGATAGGCAAAAAAATAACCCATTAGTACACCCCCCTACACAAAACCGTAACATTTTGAAAATCCTTACCATTTAGGAGAAAAGTCTAATTTAATTTTCATGACCACATCTCTGTAATTCAAAAGAAAATAGCATCTGCTCTACGAAGGAGGAGGTGTAACAGCAGGTATATATCATATCCTCTCCTCTCTTTCTGCAGTAAAAGGAAACTACAGTTCCCATCAAGCACAGGAAATTGTAGTGAATGTGGGCAGATACACTAGGCCGGTACATGTTGAATGTGTCTAAGATCCCAGGTCCCCCCACCACAGCAAGTGGGGCTGAATTACATCACCGCTTCCTGGGGGAATAGGAGGCATAGCAGCTGTCGCAAATGTGCACAACAAAGACTGACGCAGACTCCATCTTGCTAAGGGTTTCCATTTCTCCCTCATCCTTCTCCTTCCCCCTCCCTTCCTGAGAGGCACAGTGACAGATGTGTGTGTGTGTTAAAAGTGTCACAGGCCAGATCCCAGCAGGGAGCAACGTAGTGCCTCACTGTCCAAAGAACCTGTGTAATTTCACGCCTCGTAAAAAGATAACAGAGACTTCCCAGGAGTTCAAGGCATTCCCAAGAAGCCCACACCAGATAACATTTTTAAAAGATCAATTTTTCCCCTATGTCTCATATCTTGGAATATGAGAGACCGACATAAAAGCCGGACATCTCATCAGATGGACAATGAGCAGGCGAACAGTTTGATGGGTCACTTGCCTTATCTCAGGCGCACGGGAAGGCAGAGAAATAGATCTCGCGAACCGTGTAGCATACAATTTCATAATTCATATCTAAATAATCCCCAGGCTTGTCTGCATAATATACCCACGGGTGGACTGTCACTTGTGCAGATGGGAAGTTATGACCCAGAATATGAATTAGGAAAGATGTGGGCTCCAGTTTAGGGTTCCGCCCGACAATCCCTCCTTAAAGAGGGGATTGGTCTTTTACTTCAGAACCACCCCCTGCCGAGAAACTTTAAAGCAGGCTGTCAAGCCTAAGAAGTTAGTTGAAGACATCTGCAATATTAACATCAATATACCACCTGGAGAAACCTGTGCCTTTTGCTCTGAAATGTGATCTGCTTACATCCAAGGCTTAATGGCAAGTAACTTAACCCTTTAACTTCTCCCTGTTATCTCTTTGCTGTGCTGTTTTCTATGTGTATGTATGTATGTATGTATGTATGTATGTATGTATGTATGTATGTATGTATGTGTATATATATCTTAGTTACATCTTCTCTGTAAATATTTTATTGCACCTGTTTGACCCTTTTAGTAATAAATCTCTCTTTCTGAAAGCGTTGAACTGTTTCTATAGCTCTTAATTGCAAGTTACGAATCCCTGCCTTTAAAGAGACGCTATTGTTTGTTTTAACCCTCTGTATAACAGGCCTGTATTATGGCCAGGTTATTGTTGTGCAGGGTGCAGCTGGGTGTGGCATTGTTATGCACGTCACATCACGGTTTTAGATCGGCTAGCCCTTCGGTCACGAGTTTGGATGAGAAGGTCTGGGGTCTGACGCCACGATCGGGACAGCAGCCACTGGTCTTACAAACAGGAAACCAAAGAGAATAACAGTTTGATTTGAAAACGAATAGGCTATATCAAATAACTACTGAGTGAACCAGAAGATGGATGACATATTCAATGAAGGCAGAAATTCAGCAAAAAGGAAATGTAAAGAAATGCCCGGAGTTCTGCTTTAAAAATTGCAGCTCATCTATTTTGATGCTCTATTCTGACCTGTGAACTCAGCACTGAAAAAATCCTACTTGGTTCGCTAGAACCTCTTAAAAACTGCCTAACGTACATGTATGTCAGCAGTTTTAAGTGGTTATACCGGGATGATGCTTGCAGCTACAGACATCATCCCAGTACTGTTTTTTCAGGAGGCTATCTTTTTTTTGTAAAAGCCATCCTAGTGGCTAATTATCTGTTGGAATGCTTTTACAGGCAGCGGGATGGGTTGACTTCCCCCTCGGCCAGTGCCTCACCTGGCTCTACTGTACCACTAGCGAGCCCTGAATGAAGCTGGTGATTCTGACAGCCTAGAATAGAGCTGATTGGGGACCGGAAGGTCCCGATAAATTCTAATAGATATATGAAACTGGAAGCGACGAGTATTTTGCCATTTCCAGTTTTGACAGATATAAACAGCGCCATTTTTAAATTGGTAAAGCATGTGATCTCATCGCTCTTGGTGTGATCATACGCAAGCCTTTTTACTTGTACTCGCCCTGTACTCAAATGAGGATGTCTTGAGCTGCCTGTCATCTGTTTTTGCTACAACTTTTACCTGGGTGCACGGAAGACACCCATACCCTGCGCACCGAGCTCTCACCCTTGCTGGGAATTCGTAAACGTGTTGCCTCTTTGCTGGTAAATTTTAGGTTTTCCCCGGAATAATAAATGTCTTCCAATAGGGACATTAGTTCTGGTGAACCTGGTGACAACCAAGGATTTCCTCTCACTTCCTGTTGTGGCTATGGGACAGGAGGTGAAGGGAAATCTCCCAATGGCAAAGAGATGGTAACCCCCCCCCCCCCACCCAAAAAAAAAAAAAAAAACTGATTATAAAACGGTTAGAACCCCCCTTTACGCTATCCAAAATGGGGAAAAAAAAAAGTTAGAGCTTTGGATCTGCTTCAAAAGCAAGAAACACTTTTCTATTAGTGCGGCAGGCTTAATGGTGCCAAGATGATACACTCCCTGCTAAAGATACACATTCATTTGCTAAAAAATAAATAAATACTTAGATGTCTGTAAAGGTAAACATATGTAAGCAGGATCCAGTCTTACCGGTTGTGAAAGTTGTCTTGTATGAAGGAGTTTTATGGGACTTGAATGAAACACTTGGTGAAATTATAGGCTCACAGTGATAAGGTCAATATGCCTGAAAAAGAAAAGAGAAATAATACAATTGGTGGCATTACTTCCCCAGGCACAGGGGTCCACAAATGACTGTTTAGTGTGTGGAGAGGACAGCTTGCTCAGTGGCAGACAGAAATACCACAAACGGTGGTGGCATTCAGCAGACGGATGACAAAACCATGCCACAAAGTCCTATAAGTGAACAACTTATTATTTATAGACTATACTCAATACACCACTACCCACTGCTGAAGGTTTTTGCAATTGACAGTTCTGAGGAGCAGGGTGAGGACAGACTAACGGGAAGTGTGACTGAAGCCTGTATCTCAGTTTCTCCCATCTAAACTCCATCAAGCATGGTCTTATCCTCACCCACCTTCCCTGTCTAGACCCTGAAGATTTCCTACAGAATGTCACTGCTGTGATACAAAAGACAAGAGAGTCAAAGAGGGATGGGAACAGAGTTTAGTCTCCTAAAACGATAAGGCATTCATGTACAAAGGTATCATGCAGCATTTATACTTCAATATTTTTATTGAGAATTGGTTTACAGTGGTATGCATAGGAACAATAACATTTCCGCCCACATGGCGAAATGGTGAGAATAAACAAAGTCATAGATAGAAATATATATATATATATATATATATATATATATATATATATATATATATATATATATATATATATAATATATAAATATATATATATATATATATATATATATATATATAAGCCAGCATTCTCACCAGGTAGCAAACGTTCCAACAGACGATGGACAAGGGCATTGACAGAGAATTTAACCACCAATATAAAACCCCAATTCAAAAGAAAAAAAGTTAAGAATAGGGAGATCAAAAGAAAAGATCAAGGATAAGACAAGGAGGAGAGAAGAAAAGAAAGACCAAAAAAAAAAAAAAAAAGATGGGGGGGAAGAGGGAGAAAATGAGAGAGTCAGCTGCGGCGTTAAGCAATGGAGATATATCTGATCCATGGTTCCCACATTCCCTCAAATCTAGATTCATCATTGACAATGCTAGTTAACTTATCATCCCGTCTAGGGAGCTATTCAAGTCCCTTTCCCATTGAGTCATATAGGATAATTTAGTGAGAGGATCGACAAGGGAAGCATAGACAATGGACAAACGACCCCTCATCAACCCAGTTGCCCCACAGGAGACTTCTAAAGGAGTGAGTGTACAAGGTTCCGCGATTAATTTAAGTTTGCTAGAGATAAATGAGATAATTTGATAATAGCGAAACAATTCTCCGGGAGGCATCTGGTACTGTGTCAGAAAATACTGGAGAGAAACGAGGACGAAGTCCATCCAGGAAGTCTCCAATACGCAGCAAACCCTTATTCAACCACCACTGATGGTGACACCCCAGGAATAAACTCAGGATTATAAAAAACTGGAGCTAATGGAGTATGTGGGGAGAAGAAAGGTTTGCGAGCCAGCCATCTGTCCCACACGATCAACGAATAGGACAGCGTAGGACACAAAATAGGAGGACGTAAGCGACTGGGGAGCCACATAAGAGCACCAATAGCATAAGGATGGCAGGATAAGGCCTCAATGCCAACCCACTGGGGGACATAACCCCTGGCTGTAGTACAAGTTAACTGTGCTATCTGAGCCGCATGAAAATAAGCTAGGAGATTAGGAAGTCCCAAACCGCCATGCTTCTTTAGGGAAAAGAGAGTTGACCTGTTGACCCTAGGATGCTTTCCCCTCCAGATAAATCTAGAGACTGCAGCCTGTAATAGTAGCAGTTCCCGTTTGGGAACCATGATCGGTAATGTCCTAAAGTAGTACAATAGGCGCGGTAAAAAAGTCATTTTAAGAGTGGATTCTACCAAACCAGGAAAGTGGGAGATCCTGCCATTCTAGTAAATCAGATTTAAGTCGCTTGAAGAGCGGAAGATAATTGGTCTTGTACAAGGATGAAAAAGATTTTGTGAGTTGAATCCCCAAATAGGGGAAAGAACGAGGGGCCCACTGGAAATCAAAATTGTCCTGAAGGTAACGAACCTCTGAGTCAGGCAACAAAATATTTAAGGCAATTGTTTTAGAGGAATGAAGAGTAAGACCGGAGGCCTCTGAGAAACGATGAAACAGGTGAAGGAGACTGGATAAAGAAGTGCGAGGATCAGATATGTACATAAGGACATCATCAGAAAATAGCATTTATGATCCCGCTGACCACAGCGGATGCCCGAAATAGTGGGATCAGAGCGAATGGTGATCGCAAGCGGTTCCATTTCCAGAGCGAATAATAGTGGAGAGAGAGGACAACTCTGTCTAGTACCACACCCTATCGACAGGGAGGCTGACTTATCGAATGGAAACTTGAACCGAAGGATTAGAATAGAGGGCCCGTAGCAAGGTCGTGAAAGAAGGGCCAAACCCAAACCTGTCTAACATCTGAAATAGGTAGTCCCACGATAGGCTGTCAAACGCTTTATGCATATCCAACGATAACAATAAAATTTCCCTCTGTGAAGATTTGTCCCAATTAGAATGTACGGCTGACAGCAAAGCTAAAGTCCGGCGAATTTGGTCAGATGTTTGTCGACCGCTGATAAATCCTGACTGATCATCATGAACATACAGTGCTAGGAATTTATGGAGGTGTAAGGCCAAACTTTTAGTGAGAATCTTTAGATCACAATTAATTAATGAGATGGGCCGGTAATTGGAAACTATAGAAACATCTTTGAGGGTTTGGGGATGACACTAATAAAAGCCTTATTTTTGTCAGGGGGGCACCAGTCCCCCATCCCGTAGATAATTAAAATATTGAACCATATGGGGAACCAGGATATCAGGGAAAACTTTGTCATAATTGTGAGGAAGACCATCCGGTCCTGGGGATTTATAAGGTGCAAGAGATTTCAAAGGATCCCTAATCTCTTCACACGAAATGGGCCGTTCCATCGACTCCCTATGAGTCTCCTGGAGACAGGGAAGAGAAACAGAACTCAAGGAGTTGTCAAAAGACGAAGAAGCACCTCCCTGAGGCATACTATAAAGTGCAGTGTAAAAAGAGTGAAATTTTCGAAGAATCTTACCCAGATCTGGGGTTGTCTAATCTGAGCTTAGGAAGGGCCGTTTGAGAATGTCTGGGAGTCAACTTGCGGGCCAATAAGGTACCAGGTCTATCCCTCCAAGTAAAAACTTTATGGTTAGACCTTTATCAAGTCCGGACTGGGGTTTTGCTTATGCTGGGCAACCAAGTCAGAATATGCTTGAGTTTTGGTGGCTAGAAGGTCATTTCGGGCTTTTTTAAGTCGTGAAGAGAGCTGAATAATAAACCACCTAACCGAGGCCTTATGGGCTGCCCAGTTAATGGCCGGGTTCATATCCTCTGACTTATTAAAGTTCAAAGTACATTTGTAAGTGAGAGGAGATGCCCTGACAATAGAATTACCCAAAATAGATTCATTAAGGCACCAACAATAAGCAGTCCTACCAAGCAGCCCGGATGACAATGTTATAGAAATCGGGTCATGGTTGGACCAAGGCATGGAGAGGATTTTAGCAGTGAGGAGTCTAGGGAGTGAATGTGTGTCAGGAATGGACTGGCCAGCAATGGTGGGACTCACCTGCCTTATGAGCTGCAGTACCAGGGCTGGCCAGCGGGGGTGCTCCCAGCAATCAGAGACTCAACCTTGCAGCCAGCAAAACACCTGAAACTGCTTATACTGGTGTATTTAAGGGATGGCCAGACCTGCAGACTCTGCCTTGGTGTATGTTTTTCCTGGGCCCTGTATCCTGTTCCTGCTTCCTGTTTCTGTTCCTGTTCCTATTCCTGTTCCTGTCTTGTTGCTGACCCGGCCTGATCTATACCTCTGCTGACTTCTCCTGCTCTGACCCCGGCTCGTTCCTGACCATCCCTCTGCCTGACACTCTGTACCACGCTGCCCGCTACCTGCTGACCCTGGCTTGTGACCCTGACCATTCTCCGCTTGCTCCCCCTGTACCTACCTGCCCGATTGATATTGACCCGGCCTGCCTGACGACGCTCGCATTGTTTGTACTGTTATCTGTGGGTGGTTGGTTGGGTTTGTTTGCACTGTATTATGTTTAGTATTGCACGTGTTAATAAATTATATCGTTTATAACATATCTGAAGTCTGCGTTTCCCTGCGTCAGTCACACACCTCTGGTCATACCCGGGAGCCCTGACAATGTGTATGAAGAAATATATGGTCAATGCGAGAATAACAATTATGAGCCCTAGAGTAATGGGAATAGTCTCGAGAGGTTGGGTTAGCCTCCCTCCAAGCATCAACAAAGTCAAACCGATACAATAGCTGGGCCAATTTACGGCTTTGTCCAGAAGGAGGCTGAAGCACGGCGGTTTGGGAACGATCCAAAATCTGATCTAAAGCTAAGTTAGAGTCACCAGCCAGAATGACATCGCCTTCGAATTCACAAGCCATAGAGTTCAATAGGCAATGAAAAAATGCCACCTGGTTGGTATTTGGAGTGTAGTAAATTAAAAAAGTAAATCAAGTGTCCCCCCAGGTGTCCTTGCACAAGAAGATACCATCCCTCCTTGTCTGGATAACTTTATATTTGGTAAAGGAAAGACAGCGAGCAACCCCCCCGTTTCTTCTCTGAGGCATTAGCAAAATAACAGGACAGGATAATCCTTATGTACGTATCATGGGGAAAACGAAGGTGGGAAATGCGTCTCCTGTAGGGCGACTATGTCCGCCCCAAAAGAGCGGTATGAATTAAAGGCCTTTATGCGTTTGGAGGGGAAGTTAAGCCCCTGAACATTATGGGAAAGTAGACGGATCGTTCCGCTATAAGACCGTAGGGAAGACATAATCGGCAATTTAAAAAACTAGATAGAATGGGGACCCTCCGCTCCTGGAGCATAAAAAGGGTCCAAAGGATCAAGATACGCCGACAGCTGACCCTGGGAGAGAAAAAAAAAAAAAAGGAGGGAGGACAATAAAGAAAAGAGAGGAAGGAAAAAAGAAGGAAAAAGGGACATTTGGAATAGAGAAATCCTCATGTCAAGCAACCGAAGGTGATATACAAACTTTTGTAACATAAGCAAATCAAACTTCACACCCGTAATAGCAGAGCAATAGCCCTGCAAAGGAATGGGTCCACCCGGAGAAAACAACTCAGGGAAGAGTCTTCCAATCAGGGAGGGCGCATAGACACTCCCCGGAACCAACAACAACCCACCAATAACACAGCAATTAGTAGTCAAAAATGCAACCGATCCCTCCAATAAAGAAATCAGCATGTAAATAAGAGGTAACCCTAAGGCCCCTCCCCCTGCCAAACCTCCCACAACAGCAGAAAAGTAGTGGCTAATGTTCCCGAGGAACCACAGAGAGGCCTCCACCCAACCGTGGAAGAAAAAGAAAAAAAAAAAAAAAAAAACCACCCAATGAGTCCCATGAAAAGCTGTAGAAACTTAGGAAGTCTGCTTGGGTGATTTCCGCGGCCTGGTCTTTAGAGGATTTGAAGCAGTCCACAAAGGTGAGAGCAACTGAGGTCGAGAAGCCGATCTTGCTGGGGACTGAGATGAAGGACTCTAAGATATAATGCCCAATTGAAATAACAATTGCTCGCCATCCTGGAATGTGGAGAATCCATAAGACCTTCCATTAAGATTGAATTGTAGGCGAAAGGGGAAGGCCCAGCGATACCAGATACCCTTCTGCACCAAATGGGAAAGTAGAGGCTTAAAGGATCGCCGTTTCTGGATAGTAGTCGGAGAAACATCAGCAAAAATTTGTATCTTATGACCTTCAAAATCCAGATCCAGAGTCTCTCTGCTATACTTAATTACCGCTTCCTTGACCTGGAAAAAATGAGGCTTTACGATGATATCTCTAGGAGGCCCACCTTGTCTAGGGAGAATCAGCGGTCTGTGGATATGATCGATTTCAGTATGGAGATCATCGATATCGGGTATTGCAGATTGCATGAGGGTGTGTGAGCAGCTAGTGAGATCTTTAACCGATTCAGGGAGACCTCGTATGCGGAAATTATAGCGTCTAGCCTGATTCTCTAAATCATCAATTTTAGAGTAAGCCTCCTCCAAGCGATCTTGCAAGTCGGTAATCATATTAGAGTTTTGGGAAACTCTATGAACTGTCGTATCAACTTTAGCCTCAATACTGTCTAGGCGCTGGCCCAACTCCTGAAAATCCTGGTTGAGGTCGGCCGCCAATTTTGAAGTAGCTCTATCTAATTCGCGTTGCAGTAAATCAGCGAACCGAGCTATTAGGGTTGCATCACTCGAATATTGTGGTATATCAGGATGGATTGCTGGCGAGTGAGCGGGGCTGGCGTCCTCGGGTTCGGGGCCACTATACTGGCTAGAAAATATGGCCGCTATCTCGCTTCCCAGTGGTGAGGAAGCAGGGGAATCAAGGCCCAGTGAACAGGCCAAAGCCTGGGACTCGGGTACCGCAGGAAGGTGGAAGGTGACTGAGGGGGCTGTCGAGATTCACTCACCCCATCCTGCGCAACATTAGCGGTCCGGTCCCGGCCCATGATGGAGGGAGAAGCAGGGCCCCGTGTCACCCTCTGTGGGAGAGGTGCAGCTCTGCAGACAGCAGATGAGGCGGCATGAGCCGCAGACGCCGAGCCGGGCGCCATCTTGGGTCCCTTCTTCCCTGCAGGGAGTAAGAATTGTGAGCCTCTGCAGCTCTTCCCCGCCATGGCATTGTGCGGGGGCACTAAAGTCCGGGCAACACCCGGGGGAAATCCCAGAAGCAGCGGGGGGATCGGTGCCCGTGCACGGGCTGTCACTGGGTCCGGGGATGTGCGGACCTAGTGCCGGACCATCCCGTCCGGCCGGCCGCGCATTCGCACTCCATGCAGCATTTATAGATGAACTGCAGTCAGATATAAAATACACAAATTAAATGTCTTTAACACGCATGCAATATAAAGCCTGCCATAGACAGATTGAAATTCGGCAAGTTAAGCAGGAACTGGACGAATTTCGATCTATGTACGAGCATGCTGGTTGTACTGAAGATGACTGTGATCACTGCTGGCAGCTATAGCCAAGGTTGCAGGAAATCAAATTGGTGAACCTGGTGAAGCTCTGTTGATTTCCATTATCTAATCATGCACGAGCAAAAGGTGCTGTTTTTTATTTTTCTTGCACCTGATTGGGTATTTTTTGCAAAGTGAAGCTTCACTGCACTTGCAAAGTACACTGGGGTTTATTTACTAAAACTGGAGATTGCAAAATCAGGCTCACTTCTGCATAGAAACCAATCAGCTTCCAGATTTATTACCAAAGCTTAATTGAACAAGCTGAAGTGAGAAGCCGATTGGTTTCTATGAAAGTGAGCCTTATTTTGCACTCTCCAGTGTTAGTAAATAAACCCCCCAGTCTATCTGTCTTTAGTAACTAAACCCCACAGTGTCTTTTGTAAATCAACCCCACAGTTTACTTGTAGTACTTCTTCTCACACTTTGCTGAACTGGGATTTCACAAAGCTAATACTAGGTCAAACTCAGGTACTGAAGCAGGCCATATATTAGGCAATTTTCTTTCCTGCAACCATGGCTATAGCCGCCGGCAGTGATAGACTGTACACTTTGCCTTGCTATGTCCACTTTCTATTTGCCTATAGTAAATCCACCTCAATCAGTTCATGTACTGACAAAGCTCATGCTGATAGGAAGAGAAATAAGAGTGACAGAGATGATCCAGTAACAAGCTGGAGAGATACAGGACAACCTATTCTCAGAGGATGTGGGTTGAATGATGCTGGCCATCAGACTGAGGACAACTAGTGAAAGAAAAAAGTACTGTGGGGAAATCTCTGGATTGAAGGAGAATATTGAAGCAAAAGCTGGTTTAATTTTCATCCTTTTTTGGGCATTTCTTTTAGCTTTTATATTGGTCTGGAGTTACAATGCAGAAGGAGAATGAATTCCAGGCATGGGATACTTTCACATAGTTACATTGGTCCATCTAGTACTAATGTGACTATGTATATACAAAACCTGGCCAATGTCAATGGAAGCTGGAAATCACTGAAGTTGACAAGGCTACTCCTCCAGTGATCACTTTTTTGGCTATACTTCTATGGATCACAGGAGTGCAGTTCGTTCAGCACTCCTTTAACCCGTTTTTAGCCAACAACAGGCTAAAGCCATTGAGCCAGTCCAGGCTTTTGAAAAGATCCCACCCATATTGTCAGGATCCACCAAGAAGCCTGAACAGTCACCTGGCTCAGCCTCTCAGTGATCCATCAAGAAGCCAAGCCAGCCCCTCCCACCTCCTCCACAGCCTGGCACTCCAGCGAGTGCTGGAGGGGCGGAGCAGGCAGTAGAAGACTGACAGTCATGGCTCTCTGCTCAGAGTGGAGGGGCGAACTGAGTGATCAGCGGTGTTTGATCGTTCAGTTCTCATTGCAGAGCCAGTGGGGGACAGATGCTGCATCCACCTAGGTAAGTATAATTTTTTTTTTTTTTTTTAAAGCCCATACTGTTCTTTTAACATATATGACGGTAGGCATGGGCTACAGCACTAAACTGATGTATACAGTTCAAAATGCAGGCATAAAAATTGCCAGCACTTCACTTGATAAGAATGAGGAGAAGGCTTTATTAAAGGAAAATCATCAGCTTAGAAATATGGGAGATGCCATTGCTCACTTTTTAATTTTTTTAAATGTCTGTTTATTGAGATTTTGAAAAAGCGAAGTACAAAACATAGCCTTGGGGCATGCGGCGGCCTACAACGTAACAACTTCAACAATGCAAAATGAACAACCTAACAGTATTATCACTTCTGCTTAGTCCCACACCCATTCGACATTCCCATAATCCAGAGAAGAGAGCGGATTACAATTCCCTCTAGTTCCCTCAGAATCTTAGGGGTAGGCATGAATAGCATAATAAAACTATCCCTGTGACTCATTCAAAAAACAAGGATTATCATTCATACTAAAGTGACGGAGTCAGCAATTCAAAGTCAAATCAATCCCCCAATAGTAGTCTGGCTGGGTCCCAGACCCATCCTCTAGGGAATCAGCACTAGAGGAAGAGGACATCCAAAGATTCCATACTTTGTCAAACATTTGGGGACAACTCTTAGATAAATAGGTCTACTTGTAAAAGGGGGATAACTTAATCAGTTTTTTCCAAAAGAGCAGAGTAGGGGCCTGATGTGATTCCCATTTTAGCACAATAGCCTTCCTGGCATAAAACAACAAGAGGCTCAGCAAGGTGCAGGCCGCCCTGGTTACCCCAGTGGCTTCACATGTCCCAGCAGGCATACCCCCTCCATCAGAGGAATAGACATTCAATAGGGTAGAAATATATTGAGTCACTTCCAACC